TCGTGGGTTACATCAGGTTAGGGTCACTCTGTAGCGTCAATTGTGTTCATCTTTTGTAGAGTACGCTCAGCTCTAATGAGTACCTGACTACAGTTGGGAAAGTAAAGGAGGCTTATATGCTGACCTTATATGAACCCCCCCCCCGTGTCACCCCACCCCCCCACCCCCTCCAGGCAAAGCTAGTCAGACATCTGTGGGACATTTTTGTCCAGAGCTGTGAGTGTCTGGTCCTCCTGTCCAATCAGCACTTGTTGCTAGTACCACGTGGTGTCGGGTACTCCCCCCCCCCCCCCCCCACCCCCCCACACCTACCTCGAGCCGTTCAATATTAGCTTGTCCTGGCTGACCCACCTGAAAATATTTGCCGACAATCAACGGAGTTTGATCCAGGCATCAAACTTTCATCAACAGCAAACTCAAACACACTCAAACCCTCACACATACCCACACCTAAACTCACACATACCCTCACACATACCCACACCTAAACTCACACATACTCTCACACCTACCCACACCTACCCTCACACATACCCTCACCTAAACTCACTCAAACCCTCACACATACCCACACCTACCCTCACACATACTCTCACACATACCCTCACCTAAACTCACTCATAGCCTCACACATACCCACACTAAACACACACATACCCTCACACCTACCCACACCTACCCTCACACATACTCTCACACCTACCCACACCTAAACTCATACATACCCTCACACCTACCCACATCTGCCCTCACACATACTCTCACACATACCCTCATGTAGTGTCTGTCTGTGGGTCTGTCTGTATGTCTGCCTATATGTCTAGTGTCTGTCTGTCTGTCTGCCTGCCTGCCTGCCTGTCTGTCTGTCTGTCTGTCTGTCTGTCTGTCTGTCTGTTTGTCTGCCTGCCTGCCTGCCTGCCTGCCTGCCTGCCTGCCTGCCTGCCTGCCTGCCTGCCTGCCTGCCTGCCTGTCTGTCTGTCTGTCTGTCTGTCTGTCTGTCTGTCTGTCTGTCTGTCTGTCTGTCTGTCTGTCTGTCTGTCTGTCTGTCTGTCTGTCTGTCTGTCTGTCTGTCTGTCTGTCTGTCTGTCTGTCTGTCTGTCTGTCTGTCTGTCTGTCTGTCTGTCTGTCTGTCTGTCTGTCTGTCTGTCTGTCTGTCTGTCTGTCTGTCTGTCTGTCTGTCTGTCTGTCTGTCTGTCTGTATACCGAGCTAATATTCAACAGCAAAAGATAGCAAACGGTTATCACTTGTATGTGAGGTCGGGTATGGGGGTGGGTGTGGGGTGGGTGTGGGGTGGGGTTGGAATATGAGAGAAAGCAAATATCGAGATTCCATTGTGACTAGTCAAATAGACCGAGCCTAGCTGCGTGGTGTATTGACACAGTTGTGACTCGAGGGTGTCGCAGTGACACACCGACACACCTTGTGACACAACGACACACTAGCTAACCCAGTTTGCTCATCAGCAAAAATACTCGTGGATAATGTTAATCTTCGTGTTTTTTTAACGCTAGGCATTTAAGAGGAAGCCATCTTAACTCCGCCCAGCATTATCTAAGCTCCGCCCAGCTTTAACTAAGCTCCGCCTAGCACTGGTTTAAGTGTGGTGAAATATGTGTGTTCTGGACTGGTCAAGTGAGTTCAAATTCTTCTGGATTTTGTAGAAAGTTTGGTAGTGATATTTTAAAAACTGAATGGCGGAAGTGACGTCAGTTTAAGGTCAGTGTTTAGCTCCAATGTCCGGCGCACAGAAGGTCAACATGGATGACCCTAGCGAGAACCCACTCGACCTTGACCCGGCGCTACACGAGAACTTCCTCGCTATGATAGCTCAGCACGAGCAGGTACACGCTTTTGTTACGTCATTCTCTACGTCATTTCTTCTATCATGACGTCATCCCATCCTAGCCCAGGCACGTGCTGGAATTGTGAGGGCGGTTAGTGTGTGGTGGCGGTTAGTGTGTGGGGGGAGATAGTGTGTGGGGGTGGTTAGTGTGTAGTTTATCGTCGCCCCCTCCCCCTCCCTATAATCTCTACTCAAACTTATCCTTATAAATATGGCTGACACAAAGTTACATTATTAGAGCTAAGTAAGCTCTTAAGCTGCTATACCCATGTCAACGCTGGCGCTAAGATCAAACGTCATGACGTACTTCTGACGTCATTTCAATTAGGACTTAAGAACAATTAGAGTGTAATTGACTACAATTTTAAGACCGATTAGAGTGTAATTGACTTTAAGATTAATTAGAGTGTAATTGACTACTATTATAAGACCAATTACAGTGTAATTGACTACTATTTTAAGACCAATTAGAGTGTAATTGACTACTAATTACAAATGCAGTTAACTCTAACTTTAACTTTGAACCGACTGTGACTGTATCAGATTTGGAAATTAATATTTGGATTAGCTTTTTAGAGTTATCTGACTTAACCGACCAATTAGATGTAATTAATAAACAAGTTAATTGATAGTGCAATCGTTGTTGTCACTCAGTTTTTGTTTTGGGTAGAGGATAGTGTCTAGACAATTCATTCGGGGGGGGGGGGGGGGTGCACGCCATTTAGGGGCCCATAGCCGACCATAATAAATTTTTTTATAGTTAAAAAATAATTTTCTTGCATTTTTGACTTGACGGTAAAAGCTTTTGTAAATATTAAACAGATCTACTACAGTAGTGATGTTATACAGTGATTGTAGGAAAAAAAGTCACAGGAAAAAAAACACAGGAAAAAAGTCACAAATATACATTTGCATGATATTTGTTAATACTTTTATGTATTAAATATATAGAGAGTGCTAATTAACTTAGGATTAATTAAATGTAATGTAATGTGTGTAGACTGTATACGCTTAGGAATTTTTATAATTCATCTACAAATATTTATTATGAAGTATGTAGATTGTAATTATTTTAAACTTAAGATTAGTAGCATTTAATAGAATGCTCCAAAGTCCACGTTTTTCATCGTGTGTTTTTTTTTAAATACCTAATTAAATTACCGTGAAATGGTAAGTTCGTCGGATTTGCTGCCTTCAACTCATGGCAACAATAGTTATGTTTAGTTCAACCACCTTTACTGCCCACATTTATTACGCTCATTACATAACAAAACTTAGGATCAAAACAGAAAGCCGACAAGGTTCAAAGGCTGTCATTGACACAAATCGTCAACACAAATATGTTCAGACAATGCCTACTGAGGAGAGGCCGACCAGAGAATAGCCTACGGCAAAATTTTCCTAAATTTCATTTATAATTAAATTTTCTACCGCGTTTTTCACTAAATACGTAACAAATGTTAAGATTGTTGTGTAAATTATATTAGAATATTATTACTTACAATTGTTATAAATCATAATGCTTTTAACGTCTATAAATAATTTATGCTATAAAAAATACAACCCACAACAATAAACATACAAAATTTTACAATTCTAAACAAATAAATCAAAATATTTCTAAAAATATTTTTGTGACTTTTTTTCTGTGACTTTATTTCTGTGACTTTTTTTCCGATAAAATTTTTCCACTGTGACTTTTTTTCTGTGACTTTTTTTCCTAGCAAAAACTGTGACTTTTTTCCGTTCACCTATATAGTAGCTAACACATGCTGTTGCGTACAGAAATATAGATTCTATATACCTGAGCTGTAGTGTGAAAGATAGGCAAACGTTCAAAACACTTCCATGACTTATTTCCCTTGTTTAAATGGTAAAATAGGGTGCTCATATTAAGCTCCTTTTAATATATTTGTACTAAACACATCAAAAGGAAATTACTTCTCCTAATTATTTTTTTTTAAAAATACGTACTAAAGATTGATATAGCAACCCTCACTTTATATACCATCGACGTGATCCCAACCCTCACTTTATATACCATCAACGTGATCCCAACCCTCACTTTATATACCATCGACGTGAACCTATCACTTTATATACCATCGACGTGATCCTAACCCTAACCCATAAGTACTTCCGGCTAGTCACGTGACCGATCACGTGACACTTGATCACGTTAATTGTCTCTAATTGCTATTTCTACCTGTCGAGGATACTCAAATGTTAGTGCCCTTAATCAAAAGGTAATTATGTATCGATATCTTGATTGGCCGGACTAATTAGCTGATTGGGTGGCGCGTGGACGGTCGAGAAGACAACAATCGCTCTCGTGATGGTTTGCCTCCCTTGTGTGACGTCATGAATATTCATGCGGCCCCGCGAATACTGGATGCTGATTGGTGGGACGCCATTTTTCTTGCTGGAGGCTTAAGCCTAACCAGTGAGGGTTAGGGTTGATCGACCTTGACATTCAAAGTTTTGTTTAGCAACAGACCGGCCAAATGTCTTAGTCCAGATAATTACATCCAGTAATTAAGTATCTTAATAATTGATGATACCCATTACACTTATCCATCGGCTTATCAGCTCACGTCTAATGACCTAATCATGCTCACGTCTAATGACCTAATGACCTATGAGAGCCGGACATCTATCTCCTACGTCTGTCCAACCTATCAATTGTTTGCCTGGTCTATGTGTCCAGTCAATGTTTGACCCATGACCCTGAGTGTCCAGTCCATGTTTGACCCATGACCCTGAGTGTCCAGTCCATGTTTGACCCATGACCCTGAGTGTCCAGTCCATGTTTGACCCATGACCCTGAGTGTCCAGTCCATGTTTGACCCATGACCCTGAGTGTCCAGTCAATGTTTGACCCATGACCCTGAGTGTCCAGTCAATGTTTGACCCATGACCCTGTGTGTCCAGTCCATGTTTGACCCATGACCCTGAGTGTCCAGTCCATGTTTGACCCATGACCCTGAGTGTCCAGTCCATGTTTGAGCCATGACCCTGAGTGTCCAGTCGATGTTTGACCCATAACCCTGAGTGTCCAGTCGATGTTTGACCCATGACCCTGAGTGTCCAGTCCATGTTTGACCCATGACCCTGAGTGTCCAGTCCATGTTTAACCTCTGACCCCTCTCTCCACAGGTCCGCACCCTGTTTGTCTCTGGTCTCCCAATGGACGCCAAGCCACGCGAGCTGTACCTGCTATTCCGTGCCTACAAGGTAATCACGTGACTCTCTATCTGGAGTCCCCACACATACCCCACACCCCCACACATGCCCCGCATACCAACACACATACCCCACACACTCACACATACCCCACACCCCCACACATATCCCACACCCCACACATAACACACACCCCACACACATATCCCACACCCCACACATAACACACACCCCACACATACCCCTCACACCTCACATATTGTTTACTACCACCTTTCTAACGTCACATTGTAGCCGGCAGACACAAACCAGCAGACATTGGCCGGCAGACACTGGCCGGCAGACACTGGCCGGCAGACATTGGCCGGCAGACATGGGCCGGCAGACACAAACCAGCAGACATTGGCCGGCAGACACTGGCCGGCAGACACTGGCCGGCAGACACTGGCCGGCAGACACTGGCCGGCAGACACTGGCCGGCAGACATTGGCCGGCAGACATTGCCCGGCAGACACTGGCCGGCAGACATTGGCCGGCAGACACTCGCCGGCAGACGTTGGCCGGCAGACATTGGCCGGCAGACACTGGCCTGCAGACACTGGCCGGCAGACACTGGCCTGCAGACATTGGCCGACAGACGTTGACCGGCAGACATTGGCCGGCAGACGTTGACCGGCAGACACTGGCCGGCAGACATTGGCCGACAGACGTTGACCGGCAGACATTGGCCGGCAGACACTGGCCGGCAGACATTGGCCGGCAGATATTGGCCGGCAGACACTGGCCGGCAGACGTTGACCGGCAGACATTCATTTCGATTTCAAATGAAATTGTTTCCCATGGGTCTAGTGTTAGGACGGTTTTGGTAGGTTTTATAAATGTGTAGTCTCCCCTTCCACAACCTCCACTCTCCCCTGACACCTCTCCCCCCCCCCCTCCTCCCCTACCCTTCCGCCACTCGTGCACCTGTGTAGTAGCAAAGATTGTTGAAAGCCTGGCCAAATGTGACCTTGAACTTGCCTCCATTACTTTCAGGGATTTGAAAACGGCCTCTTAAAAATAATGGGTAAGAATATAATCACCGACAAGAACAATTGTGTAAGTTGTGGCCCTTGTTTCTTCTTCCTGTGTGACGTCACGATCACCTCCCCTCCCCACTGTGACGTAATATTATCACCTGCCCCCTCACCTTGTCGTTTGGCTGCCAAGTATCAACATCTACTTGCTGTGTGTGCGCCAAAACCACACCCAACCACACCTAACCACACCACACCTCACCACACCCCCCTCAGCTCACCTTTTCGTTTGGTTTCATCATGACACCTTCACTTCATTTCATTTGCTTCATTCATTTGTTTCTTCAGTTCATTTGCTTCATTCATTTGTTTCTTCAGTTCATTTGCTTCATTCATTTGTTTCTTCAGTTCATTTGCTTCATTCATTTGTTTCCACAGTTCATTTGCTTCATTCATTTGTTTCTTCAGTTCATTTGCTTCATTCATTTCTTCAGTTCATTTGCTTCTTTCATTTGTTTCTTCAGTTCATTTGCTTCTTTCATTTGTTTCTTCAGTTCATTTGCTTCTTTCATTTGTTTCTTCAGTTCATTTGCTTCATTCATTTGTTTCTTCAGTTCATTTGTTTCATTCGTTTCTTCAGTTCATTTGCTTCATTCATTTGTTTCTTCAGTTCATTTGCTTCATTCGTTTCTTCAGTTCATTTGCTTCATTCATTTGCTTCTTCAGTTCATTTGCTTCATTCATTTGTTTCTTCAGTTCATTTGCTTCTTTCATTTGTTTCTTCAGTTTATTTGCTTCATTCATTTGTTTCTTCAGTGCATTTGCTTCATTCATTTCTTCAGTTCATTTGTTTCTTTAATTTGTTTCCTCAGTTCATTTGCTTCATTCATTTGTTTCTTCGGTTCATTTGCTTCATTCATTTGTTTCTTCAGTTCATTTGCTTCATTCATTTCTTCAGTTCATTTGCTTCTTTCATTTGTTTCTTCAGTTCATTTGCTTCTTTCATTTGTTTCTTCAGTTCATTTGCTTCTTTCATTTGTTTCTTCAGTTCATTTGCTTCATTCATTTGTTTCTTCAGTTCATTTGCTTCATTTATTTGTTTCTTCAGTTCATTTGCTTCATTCATTTGTTTCTTCAGTTCATTTGCTTCATTCATTTGTTTCTTCAGTTCATTTGCTTCATTCATTTGTTTCTTCAGTTCATTTGCTTCATTCATTTGTTTCGTCAGTTCATTTGCTTCATTCATTTGTTTCTTCAGTTCATTTGCTTCATTCATTTGTATTTTCAATTCATTTGCATCTTTAGTTCATTTGTTTCTTCAGTTCATTTGCTTCATTCATTTGTTTCCTCAGTTCATTTGCTTCATTCATTTGTTTCTTCAGTTCATTTGCTTCATTCATTTTTTCTTCAGTTCATTTGCTTCATTCATTTGTATTTTCAATTCATTTGCATCTTCAGTTCATTTGTATTTTCAGTCCATTTGTATTTTCAGTTCATTTGTATTTTCAGTTCATTTGTATTTTCAGTTCATTTGTATTTTCAGTTCATTTGCATCTTTAGTTCATTTGTTTCTTCAGTTCATTTGCTTCATTCATTTGTTTCCACAGTTCATTTGCTTCATTCATTTGTTTCCACAGTTCATTTGCTTCATTCATTTGTATCTTTAGTTCATTTGCTTCATTCATTTGTTTCTTCGATCCATTTGCTTCATTCATTTGTTTCTTCGACGATTCATTTGCTTCATTCATTTGTTTCTTCGATTCCTTTGCTTCATTCGTTTTATTCAGTTCGTTTGTATCTTCAGTTCATTTTTATCTTTAGTTGTTTTGTTTCTGTCATTTTGGTTTCATATATATATTTGTTGAATTAATGTATTTGTTTCATGTATATGTTTTTATTAATTGTTTTATTAATGTGTTTCTTTTGTTCGAACGATGCGCTCAGAAGTTTTGGTTTTTTTTATTAACCAACTTGAACCAATCAAATTCTTCGTTCAAGTCACGTGCCTCCATTAGCCAATAGTTTTTGTTTCTGGTTTCCATGCCTGCTTCAGCGGACACTTCCACTACATCCCAAACATCAATTGAATGATGATCCTGGGGGTGGCTGTGGGGGGGGGGGGGGGCGCTGTGCGGGTGTGTGGCTGTGGGGGGTGGCTGTGGGGGGGTGGCTGTGGGGGGGGTGGCTGTGGGGGGGTGGCTGTGGGGGGGTGGCTGTGGGGGGGCTATGGAGGGGGTGGCTGTGGGTGTTTGTGGCTGTGGGGGGGGTGGCTGTGGGGGGGGGGGGGCTATGGAGGGGGTGGCTGTGGGTGTTTGTGGCTGTGGGGTGGGTGGCTGTGGGGAGTGGCTGTGGGTGTGTGTGGCTGTGGGGCGTGGCTATGGGGGAGGGTGACTGTGGATCTCTCGCCCCCCCCCCCACCGAAAAAATTCTACCGCCCCCCCCCCCCCCCCGAACGAAATGAAATGTATATAATTTATATATTTAGATAGAAAATATATACTTTTATAGTGTCTCCCCCCCCCCCCAAAGAAAGTCTACCCCCCTCCCCGAAAATTTAGGTGAACGGAAAAAAAGTTACAGGGAAAAAAATACAGAAAAAAGTAACAGTTTTTGCTAGGAAAAATAGTCACAATGGAAAAATTTTATCGGAAAAAAAGTCACAGAAATAAAGTCACAGAAAAAAAGTCACAAAAATCTTTGCAAAAATATTTTGATTTATTTGTTGAAAATTGTCAAATTCTGTATGTTTATTGTTATAGGTTTTATTTTTTATAGCATATATTATTTATAGACGTTAAAAGCACCGTCGATTATAACAATTGTAACTAAATAATACTCTAAGATAATTTACAATCTCAAATTTTGTTACGTATTTAGTTAAATACGCGGTAGAAAAGTTAATTATAATAGAAATGTAGGCACATCCTTATGTTTTGCATATGTTTTGCCGTAGGCTATTCTCTGTTCGGCCTCTCCTCCGTAGGCATTGTCCGAACGTATTGGGTGTTGTTGGCGTTTTGTGTCAATGACAGCCTTTGAACTTTGTCGGCTTTCTGTTTTGATCCTATGCTTTGTTATGTAATGAGCGTGATAAATGTGGGCAGTAAAGGTGGTTGAACTATTGTTGCGATGAGTTGAGGGCAGCAAGTCAGATGAACTTACCATTTCACGGTAATTTAATGTTAGTATTTTAAAAACCGAGGACGTTGGAACATTCTATTAAATGCTATTAATATTATGTTCGACAATATACATACTTCATACGAAATATTTTTAGATGAATTATAAAAATTACCATGCGTATACAACCTACACAGATTACATTACATTTAATTAATCATAAGTTTATTTGCACTATCTGAATATATAATTCATAAAAGTATTAATAAATTCTATGCAAATATATATTTGTGACTTTTTTCCTGTGGCTTTTTTTCCTGTGTTTTTTTTTTCCTGTGTTTTTTCCCTGTGACTTTTTTTTTCCTAAAATTAAAATTTCAAGTGCTCCCCCCCCCCCCCCCCCCCCTCCGAGAAAAAAGTCTGGAAGAAACACTGGGTGTGGCTGTGTGGCTGTGTGGGGTGTGGGGTGTGGCTGTGTAGGGTGTGGGGTGTGGCTGTGTGGGGTGTGGCTGTGTGGGGTGTGGCTGTGTGGGGTGTGGCTGTGTGGCTGTGTGGCTGTGTGGGGTGTGGGGTGTGGCTGTGTAGGGTGTGGGGAGTGGGGTGTGGCTGTGTGGGGTGTGGCTGTGTGGGTGTGGCTGTGTGGGGTGTGGCTGTGTGGGGTGTGGCTGTGTGGGGTGTGGCTGTGTGGGGTGTGGCTGTGTGGGGTGTGGCTGTGTGGGGTGTGGGTTGTGGCTGTGTGGGGTGTGGCTGTGTGGGGTGTGGCTGTGTGGGGTGTGGCTGTGTGGGGTGTGGCTGTGTGGGGTGTGGCTGTGTGGGGTGTGGCTGTGTGGGGTGTGGCTGTGTGGGGTGTGGCTGTATGGCTGTGTAGGGTGTGGGGTGTGGCTGTGTGGGGTGTGGCTGTGTGGGGTGTGGCTGTGTGGGGTGTGGGGGTGTGGGGTGTGGCTGTGTGGGGTGTGGGGGTGTGGCTGTGTGGGGTGTGGGGTGTGGCTGTGTGGGGTGTGGCTGTGTGGGGTGTGGCTGTGTGGGGTGTGGGGTGTGGCTGTGTGGTTGTGGCTGTGTGGTTGTGGCTGTGTGGGGTGTGGGGTGTGGCTGTGTGGGGTGTGGGGTGTGGCTGTGTGGGGTGTGGCTGTGTGGGGTGTGGCTGTGTGGGGTGTGGCTGTGTGGGGTGTGGCTGTGTAGGGTGTGGCTGTGTGGGGTGTGGCTGTGTGGGGGTGTGGGTGTGTGGGGTGTGGCTGTGTGGGGTGTGGGTGTGTGGGGGTGTGGCTGTGTGGGGTGTGGGTGTGTGGGGTGTGGCTGTGTGGGGTGTGGCTGTGTGGGGTGTGGCTGTGTGGGGTGTGGCTGTGTGGGGTGTGGCTGTGTGGGGTGTGGGTGTGGCTGTGTGGGGTGTGGCTGTGTGGGGTGTGGCTGTGTGGTGTGTGGGTGTGGCTGTGTGGGGTGTGGCTGTGTGGGGTGTGGCTGTGTGGGGTGTGGCTGTGTGGGGTGTGGCTGTGTGGCTGTGTGGGGTGTGGCTGTGTGGGGTGTGGCCGTGTGGGGTGTGGCCGTGTGGGGTGTGGCTGTGTGGCTGTGTGGGGTGTGGCTGTGTGGGGTGTGGCCGTGTGGGGTGTGGCCGTGTGGGGGTGTGGCTGTGTGGGGTGTGGGTGTGTGGGGGTGTGGGTGTGGCTGTGTGGGGTGTGGGTGTGGCTGTGTGGGGTGTGGCTGTGTGGGGTGTGGCTGTGTGGGGTGTGGGTGTGTGGGGTGTGGCTGTGTGGGGTGTGGCTGTGTGGCTGTGTGGGGTGTGGCTGTGTGGGGTGTGGCCGTGTGGGGTGTGGCCGTGTGGGGTGTGGCTGTGTGGGGTGTGGCTGTGTGGGGTGTGGGTGTGGCTGTGTGGGGTGTGGCTGTGTGGGGTGTGGCCGTGTGGGGTGTGGCCGTGTGGGGTGTGGCTGTGTGGGGTGTGGGTGTGGCTGTGTGGGGTGTGGGTGTGGCTGTGTGGGGTGTGGCTGTGTGGGGTGTGGCTGTGTGGGGTGTGGGTGTGTGGGGTGTGGGTGTGTGGGGTGGGGCTGTGTGGGGTGTGGCTTTGTGGGGTGTGGCTGTGTGGGGTGTGGCTGTGTGGGGTGTGGGTGTGGCTGTGTGGGGGTGTGGGTGTGGCTGTGTGGGGTGTGGCTGTGTGGGGTGTGGCTGTGTGGGGTGTGGGGTGTGGCTGTCTGGGGTGTGGGTGTGTGGGGTGTGGCTGTGTGGGGTGTGGCTGTGTGGGGTGTGGCTGTGTGGGGTGTGGCTGTGTGGGGTGTGGGTGTGGCTGTGTGGGGTGTGGCTGTGTGGGGTGTGGGTGTGTGGGGTGTGGCTGTGTGGGGTGTGGCTGTGTGGGGTGTGGCTGTGTGGGGTGTGGCTGTGTGGCTGTGTGGGGTGTGGCTGTGTGGGGTGTGGCTGTGTGGGGTGTGGGGTGTGGCTGTGTGGGGGTGTGGCTGTGTGGGGTGGGGCTGTGTGGGGTGTGGCTGTGTGGGGTGTGGGTGTGGCTGTGTGGGGTGGGGCTGTGTGGGGTGTGGCTGTGTGGGGTGTGGCTGTGTGGGGTGTGGCTGTGTGGGGTGTGGCTGTGTGTGGTGTGGGTGTGTGGGGTGTGGCTGTGTGGGGTGTGGCTGTGTGGGGTGTGGCTGTGTGGGGTGTGGGTGTGGCTGTGTGGGGTGTGGCTGTGTGGGGGTGTGGCTGTGTGGGGTGTGGCTGTGTGGGGTGTGGGGTGTGGCTGTGGCTGTGTGGGCTGGGGCTGTGTGGGGTGTGGCTGTGTGGGGTGTGGCTGTGTGGGGTGTGGCTGTGTGGGGTGTGGCTGTGTGGGGTGTGGCTGTGTGGGGTGTGGCTGTGTGGGGTGTGGCTGTGTGGGTGTGGCTGTGTGGGGTGTGGCTGTGTGGGGTGTGGCTGTGTGGGGTGTGGCTGTGTGGGGTGTGGGTGTGGCTGTGTGGGGTGTGGGTGTGGCTGTGTGCGGCGGCATGGAAACCAAATATTTACTGCCAATGTAGACTCTCCTGTTGCTTTCAATGTCAATATAATCATCTATGTGCTTCACACGTTAACATTGTTTCAATTTTATTAGGATGGATGCTGCGGGGGGGGGGGGGGGACTGGTGGGATAGAGGAATGGACGGAGGGAGGGGGGTAGGGAAATTTTTATATCCCGTCGAATATATCTTGAGCAATCAAGGGGGTCAGGGACGGCTCACACGACCAAAGGACGGTCATTGAACGTCTGCTGTGTGACAGTCTGTGTGACACGTGATCTGTGTGACACGTGATCTGTGTGACACGTGATCTGTGTGACACGTGATCTGTATGACAATCTGTGTGACAGTCTGTGTGACAGTCTGTGTGACAGTCTGTGTGACAGTCTGTGTGACAGTCTGTGTGACAGTCTGTGTGACGTGGTCTGTGTGACACGTGGTCTGTGTGACAGTCTGTGTGACACGTGATCTGTGTGACAGTCTGTGTGACATGTGGTCTGTGTGACAGTCTGTCTGACACGTGATCTGTGTGACAGTCTGTGTGACACGTGATCTGTGTGACACGTGACCTGTGTGACACGTGGTCCGTGTGACAGTCTGTGTGACATGTGGTCTGTGTGACAGTCTGTCTGACACGTGATCTGTGTGACAGTCTGTGTGACACGTGATCTGTGTGACACGTGACCTGTGTGACACGTGGTCCGTGTGACAGTCTGTGTGACAGTCTGTGTGACAGTCTGTGTGACAGTCTGTGTGACAGTCTGTGTGACACGTGATCTGTGTGACAGTCTGTGTGACACGTGATCTGTGTGACAGTCTGTGTGACACGTGATCTGTGTGACAGTCTGTGTGACAGTCTGTGTGACAGTCTGTGTGACACGTGATTTGTGTGACACGTGATCTGTGTGACACGTGATCTGTGTGACACGTGATCTGTGTGTGCTACATGGTTACTCAGACAAGCCAAAACGTTTGAAGTCCCCATCTTTGATGTAGACATCTTTGATGTTGACATCTTTGATGTTGACATCTTTGATGTTGACATCTTTGATGTTGACATCTTTGATGTAGACATCTTTGATGTTGACATCTTTGATGTTGACATCTTTGATGTTGACATCTTTGATGTAGACATCGTTGATGTTGACATCTTTGATGTTTCCGTTGATGTCATTATGACATCAAAATGTCATTACAGTCAGACCCCGCTCCAAATTTACTTCTTTATTTAAAAACTGTTGATTCAAGTATCACCATGGTCTAGTCACCAGTAACTGGCCAGTGATGGTCTAGTCAACCATAAATGGTCAGCAATGGTGTTAAAACGTGTGTGGTTGAATTGAGGAACTTGATGATAAACTGAAATGTTGAGTCTGACGTGCGGACCGACTAGAAGTTTGCGACTGTTCCTAAAATAAAATGATTGTGTACTGTTTTGGGGATGGGGATGATGGGGTGTTATTTTTTTACGGAACGCAATTATGTTGTGTGTCATAATGTATATTTCGTTATGAACTCTTGATTTTTGTTGATGTTTTTGTCCATGAACTTGTGATTTTGTTGATGTTTTTGTCCATGAACTCGTGATTTTTTTTTTATGTTTTTGTCCATGAACTCGTGATTTTGTTGATGTTTTTGTCCATGAACTCGTGATTTTGTTGATGTTTTTGTCCATAAACTCGTGATTTTGTTGATGTTTTTGTCCATGAACTCGTGATTTTGTTGATGTTTTTGTCCATGAACTAATCATTTTTTGTGCCACCAACAGCAATACGCCACGTTGCCGGTAAAGAATTTTCTTTTACACAAACATTCTTTACGTCACAATGTTTACGTCACAACGTGTGAGGAGAGAGTGAGGCAGGAGATGACGTCATCCACAAATGACACATTATTACCAGCAAAAGATTTAATAGACGTCTAAAAACTGATTCACTTGACGTCATCCCACACTCTCGACTCATTATTACCTCATTAATCATCACATTATTACCTCATTAATCATCACCTTATTATTTCAGTTTGCTTTTTTATAGCAATCTTTTCAGTTTACTTCAGCTGACCCACCCTGACCCACCCATATTGTTCGTGTCTATCATGACAGCTGACCCACCCTGACCCACCCTGACCCACCCATATTGTTCGTGTCTATCATGACAGCTGACCCACCCTGCCTTGCTGTGGTTTAAAGCGATCTACTTCTCTCTCTCCCCCCCCCCCCCACATACAAATACAAACAGATTTTGCGACGTCACATCATTTCGAGATATTCGTGTTAGATGACGTCACTGCCCACGTTTGGGTTAGGTCTAAAAATAAACTCCTCCACTGACCTTTGACCTGACCTTAACCCCGCCACTAGCTTGTGCTCTGCCCCTTCCCCAAACCCATCTGGTGCTCAAAAAAACACGTGATACCCACTATACAATGAAATCCTTGGATTTTTGCCACTGGATAGTCCCCAGCAGACAACCTGAATATGACAACCTGACAGTGGCAACCTGACAGTGGCAACCTGACAGTGGCAACCTGAATATGACATCCCGCGGTGAGCGCCCTTTGCCTGGGACTAAAACATTGCTAGAAATTTGAGATGAAAGAAAACGTGTCACAAACACGTGCCACAAACACTGCATTAAATTAGACCAACCCTGCGGCTGACACTTGCAGATCAAAGTTGTTTTGTTTTTTTTTTGGGGGGGGGGGGGGGTTCTACAGACCGACGATCAATGACGTCATGCATATAGAAATAAATGTTTCCATTTCCTTGAGTTGAGCTGACTATCTTTTCATTGGTCACATTTTCAAACAATCACGCTCATCACTCATTCTGATCCAACGCAAATTTAGTACGGTGTTTTGAATGTGTCATATTTCACATTTTCTGTTTTTTGTGTGATCACCTTGCACCTATCTCTCACCTTTGCTTTGCAGGGCTATGAGGGTTCCCTGCTTAAAATAACCAACAAAAATGGAAAAAATACTTCAGTAAGTATGTCAGCTTCATGCCTGTAGCCTACGTCATCAGACCCACGGAGAGGTGGCACCATATGTCAAGTTACCGTATGTCAAGTTACCGTATGTCAAGTTACCGTATGTCAAGTTACCGTATGTCATGACGTATATGGAAAACACCAAATGTTGGGACACCATATATGGGACTACCATGTGAATACTACACGTGTAAACACGGGATAATCTGAATACCACACAATGTGAATCCCACACAATGTGAATACCACACAATGTGAATACCACACAATGTGAATGCTACAAACGAAACAAGACCATCTGCTTTGCATGAATGTGTTTTATGTTTAATGTTTTGTGAATTAATTTGATGTGTTTTCATCAACGTCTTTTTTTCCATCGCGACGTCATTTGGATGCGTCACGATGACGTAGTTTTGATGTCTTATAAAGACGCCATCTTGTATTGATGCGTCACGTCAATGTGTGTTTGGGTTAGCCAATCAAAATCTCACACCTAATTGAATTAAACCAATCAATTGTTCATGTCAAATAAGAATTTAAAAAAAAAGTTTCTCGTTTTTTTCTCAGCCATATTGGTGTGGCAACAAATATTTTTACAGTAAGAAACTAAATGTTAAGTCGGAATTTTAAAATGTTAAGTCGGAATTTTAAAATGTTAAGTCGGAATTTTAAAATGTTAAGTCGGAATTTTAAAATGTTAAGTCGGAATTTTAAAATGTTAAGTCGGAATTTTAAAATGTTAAGTCGGAATTTTAAAATGTTAAGTCGGAATTTTAAAATGTATGTTGATACAAAAGCCAGAGATTTTTAAAATGTATGTTGATACAAAAGCCAGAGATTTTTAAAATGTATGTTGATACAAAAGCCAGAGATTTTTAAAATGTATGTTGATACAAAAGCCAGAGATTTTTAAAATGTATGTTGATACAAAAGCCAGAGATTTTTAAAATGTATGTTGATACAAAAGCCAGAGATTTTTAAAATGTATGTTGATACAAAAGCCAGAGATTTTTAAAATGTATGTTGATACAAAAGCCAGAGATTTGTAAAATGTATGTTGATACAAAAGCCAGAGATTTTTAAAATGTATGTTGATACAAAAGCCAGAGATTTGTAAAATGTATGTTGATACAAAAGCCAGAGATTTTTAAAATGTATGTTGATACAAAAGCCAGAGATTTTTAAAATGTATGTTGACAGTTTTTGACCTTTCTCGTGCAGCCTGTCGGGTTCGTGACCTTCAGTTCCAGGATGGCAGCAGAAACAGCTAAACAGGATCTTCAGGTAACTTGACAAGGTCATCTGTGTGACACACATAAGCCATCTATGTGGCATAAATAGGTCTTATGTGAGTCAAAAAGTAGGTCATATAAGAAATATAAGTTACCTATGCAGCAAATAGGTCATCTGTGATTTATAATTAGATCATATGAGAAACATAAATATGTCCCCTGGGAGACATAAGTAGGTCATTTATGATGCATACGTAGGTCATCTGTGAAATATAAATAGGTCATGTGTGAGTTATTCAGTCTCTGTCAATTTAAACTCATTTACTCTAACCCATTTGGAGCACCGTACTCCCAACATTTACTCTAACCCATTTGGAGCACCGTACTCCCAACATTTACTCTAACCCATTTGGAGCACCATACTCCCAACATTTACTCTAACCCATTTGGAGCACCGTACTCCCAACATTTACTCTAACCCATTTGGAGCACCGTACTCCCAACATTTACTCTAACCTATGCGGAGCACCATACTCCCAATATTTGCTTATATAGAATCATATTTGCTTATGTTTTAGGGCGTCAGGTTTGACCCAGATTTGCCACAGACATTACGACTGGAGTTCGCCAAATCCAACACGAAGGTGACCAAACCTAAGCAAGCATCGCCCCAACCGACAGCAGCACACCCGACCACCATCATCCACCCCATCACTGGTCGTGAGTATTTGGGTCATCTCCACCTAGACCAACAAACACAAACACATGTCTAACACTCACTGATGCTTCAACCAAAATCTCATTTATGACTTTCTTGGTTTTCCATACTTTTTGGCCTCAGCACCTCCCCATGTAGTTGAGCACACTACACACCAGACACTTGTGTACACACAACTGTAACACCTTGTTTTCTTGACTAACCTCCCATGTAAACAACACACCAGCACCAGATCGGCATCACCACATGCACTCAAAGATTAACACATCTTTCACGTGTGCAACTAAAAACTATTCTCAAACACATCATGTGACCTATATCATGTCACTATCCTTGACTTTCATCCCCTTGCTCAAGTCCGCTTTACACATCGCTTCTCATTGGTCGACCAGGAGTCACGTGTCAAGCTGTTCACCAATCAGCATTAAGACTGTCATATCCTCACGTCCTTTTATTTGACTATCCGTCACTTTATTTACATCACTATTGCATTTCTGACCTCATTTTTTAAATGTTCCATCATTGATAGCAGAACTAACGGAACCGCTGCATACACACATGCCCACACAACCTGCCTACACACACCTGCCTACACACACCTGCCTACACACCTGCCCACACACACTTTCCAACACACACCTGTCCACACAACCTGCCCACACTCACTTGCCCACACTTACGTGCCCACACACACCTGCCCATACATACTTACCTACACACCTGCCAACACACTACCTACACACATACCAACACATTACATACACACATGCCAACACACTACCTACACACTTGTCAACACACTACCTACACACCTGTCAACACACTACCTACACACACTTACCAACACACTACCTACACACCAGTCAACACACTACCTACACACACTTACCAACACACTACCTACACACCAGTCAACACACTACCTACACACATGCAGCAACACACTACCTACACACACTCACCAACACACTACCTACACACCAGTCAACACACTACCTACACACATGCACCAACACACTACCTACACACATGCAGCAACACACTACCTACACACATGCAGCAACACACTACCTACACACTTGTCAACACACTTACCAACACACTACCTACACACACTTACCAACACACTACCTACACACATGCAGCAACACACTACCTACACACATGCACCAACACACTATCTACACACATGCAGCAACACACTACCTACACACATGCAGCAACACACTACCTACACACATGCAGCAACACACTACCTACACACTTGTCAACACACTTACCAACACACTACCTACACACATGCAGCAACACACTACCTACACACTTGTCAACACACTTACCAACACACTATCTACACACATGCAGCAACACACTACCTACACACATGCAGCAACACACTACCTACACACATGCACCAACACACTACCTACACACATGCAGCAACACACTACCTACACACATGCAGCAACACACTACCTACACACTTGTCAACACACATGCAGCAACACACTACCTACACACTTGTCAACACACATGCAGCAACACACTACCTACACACATGCAGCAACACACTACCTACACACATGCACCAACACACTACCTACACACATGCAGCAACACACTACCTACACACATGCAGCAACACACTACCTACACACTTGTCAACACACATGCAGCAACACACTACCTACACACTTGTCAACACACATGCAGCAACACACTACCTACACACATGCAGCAACACACTACCTACACACATGCAGCAACACACTACCTACACACATGCAGCAACACACTACCTACACACTTGTCAACACACATGCAGCAACACACTACCTACACACATGCAGCAACACACTACCTACACACTTACCAACACACTACCTACACACATGCAGCAACACACTACCTACACACATGCAGCAACACACTACCTACACACTTGTCAACACACCTGCCAATCTCATTTTGCTCCTATGGAAACAAAGGTCACTCTCAGTGTTTATAACCCCTATCACCCCCTCCTATCACCCCCCCCCCCCCCCCCTATCACCGTCAAACCAACACTTAACCATCACTTTCACAGAGGAATTAGGGGCCGCCTTTTTTCCTGGGGGCCCAGAAGCCTGGGCCACCGCGCCTACACTAGCACCGTTTCCAGAACTTGCACCAGCACCGCCCCCTGGGGCAGGACTCCCCCACCCCGCCCTACTCTCCCACCACCACCACCCCGCTGCACTGGCTCCCATGCCTCTAAGGGTCAGTACCACCATTTTTTTTATTCTTTTCATTCTGACCGTTACATCTAGAATCTTCTTCTCGATGTGTCAGTGTTATGTGGCATCTGTTTGCCTGTATGTCATATGTTTGCCTGTATGTCATATGTTTGCCTGTATGTCATATTTTAAACCACCCCCACCCCTGGGCCCATCCCAAAAAAAAATAATCCAATTCTATTTATAGTAACAGTATCTAAATAAAATTTGTAGTTGTTATTGAAGCAACAAAAATTGTGTTTTAAAATAGATTTCTTTACTAACTTGAACTGCAAGCCATATTAATCGTTTCTCTGATCACGGTCAGATGTATAACCTTGACCTTCATGGCTACCCTGACCCTGAGTGAACCAAATTTATCTCATTTTATTTTTCGCAACTAAGCCAATACATTCACAGCTTATCTAATCCAAAACTGCTAAATGACCTAATCCTAACTTACTAATAACCTAACCCTAACCTGCTAATGACCTAACCCTAACTTGCTCCTATAAAAATGCTTTTAGTTGTGCTTTTTTTTTTTAAGTTTTTTTTTCTCGCACTCCTGGTAAAATGTACCCAGCATTAGAACTTATTGTAAAACGTCCTTTGTACAGGTCACTGTGTGGTAGTACATGTCGTTGGTAGTGGACAATGGTAGTTGGTAGTGGACAATGGTAGTTGGTAGTGGACAATGGTAGTTGGTAGTGGACAATGGTAGTTGGTAGTGGACAATGGTAGTTGGTAGTGGACAATGGTAGTTGGTAGTGGACAATGGTAGTTGGTAGTGGACAATGGTAGTTGGTAGTGGACAATGGTAGTTGGTAGTGGACAATGGTAGTTGGTAGTGGACAATGGTAGTTGGTAGTGGACAATGGTAGTTGGTAGTGGACAATGGTAGTTGGTAGTGGACAATGGTAGTTGGTAGTGGACAATGGTAGTTGGTAGTGGACAATGGTAGTTGGTAGTGGACAATGGTAGTTGGTAGTGGACAATGGTAGTTGGTAGTGGACAATGGTAGTTGGTAGTGGACAATGGTAGTTGGTAGTGGACAATGGTAGTTGGTAGTGGACAATGGTAGTTGGTAGTGGACAATGGTAGTTGGTAGTGGACAATGGTAGTTGGTAGTGGACAATGGTAGTTGGTAGTGGACAATGGTAGTTGGTAGTGGACAATGGTAGTTGGTAGTGGACAATGGTAGTTGGTAGTGGACAATGGTAGTTGGTAGTGGACAATGGTAGTTGGTAGTGGACATGGGCAGTTTGTAGTGGACATGGGCAGTTTGTAGTGGACAATGGTAGTTGGTAGTGGACAGGGGCAGTTGGTAGTGGACATGGGCAGTTTGTAGTGGACAATGGTAGTTGGTAGTGGACAGGGGCAGTTGGTAGTGGACATGGGCAGTTGGTAGTGGACATGGGCAGTTTGTAGTGGACAATGGTAGTTGGTAGTGGACAGGGGCAGTTGGTAGTGGACAATGGTAGTTGGTAGTGGACAATGGTAGTTGGTAGTGGACATGGGCAGTTTGTAGTGGACAATGGTAGTTGGTAGTGGACATGGGCAGTTTGTAGTGGACAATGGTAGTTGGTAGTGGACAGGGGCAGTTGGTAGTGGACAATGGTAGTTGGTAGTGGACATGGGCAGTTTGTAGTGGACAATGGTAGTTGGTAGTGGACATGGGCAGTTTGTAGTGGACAATGGTAGTTGGTAGTGGACATGGGCAGTTTGTAGTGGACAATGGTAGTTGGTAGTGGACAGGGGCAGTTGGTAGTGGACATGGGCAGTTGGTAGTGGACATGGGCAGTTTGTAGTGGACAATGGTAGTTGGTAGTGGACAGGGGCAGTTGGTAGTGGACATGGGCAGTTGGTAGTGGACATGGGCAGTTGGTAGTGGACATGGGCAGTTTGTAGTGGACAATGGTAGTTGGTAGTGGACAATGGTAGTTGGTAGTGGACATGGGCAGTTTGTAGTGGACAATGGTAGTTGGTAGTGGACAGGGGCAGTTGGTAGTGGACATGGGCAGTTGGTAGTGGACATGGGCAGTTTGTAGTGGACAATGGTAGTTGGTAGTGGACAATGGTAGTTGGTAGTGGACAGGGGCAGTTTGTAGTGGACAGGGACAGTTTGTAGTAATTGCCTGCTGTTTTAGCAAATTAGTTCTACATCTACAAAAAAAATTATACGGAAAGACAGATATTAGTACAAGATATATACATATATTTGTTACGGTCAAAGCCCGAAGTCGGCCAAAGCCCGCATTGGCCAATATTGCCCCCCGTTGACCGGTCAAAGTCCGAAACTTAACTTGATTTCGGCCTTTGGCCAGCCAATCCGCGGACTGGCCATGGTGGACCGGCCAAAGTCTTAATTAGAAGATCATCTGGCTAGGGACGAATTAGAAGATCATGAGCAGATTTAGGATTTTTTATACCGTAAGGATCACGAAATTCAGTCTTTATTGATTATTAATTAAAGTAAATGAGAGAAACATTCAAATTATTTTATTGTACTATAGTCCCAAGTTGAACATTTATGTCATTTAGAATTACATCTTTGGACATCGTTGCCACAGGATCCACAAGAATGGGCTGCACTACAATATTTTTCACAAACTACACAGAATCTGTTGGCCATATTATTGTCACGCAACCTGTCTGGACGTTCCGCCACGGCAGCATATGTGTTAGCTGAGGAAGTCGTTGCATTTATGGCAACCTCCATTTCTTGTTCAATGTTCTCAAGATCTTCCTCAGTAACTAAATTATCGAGAGCCTCTCTTGGTAGATTTGAAGTGCTAAGTCCCGCTTTTGTTTTGCATCCAAACAAGACTTCTTATGGCGATTGTTAGATTCCTTGATGATTTCTGTGAACTAGTTTAAGTTCAGGCCACATGGTCTTTAGTTAAGAAATTCTCTGCCATTAGGATTTGGATTTTTTATTTTGGCAGACATCTGGTATGTCTGTCACTTGGTCTGACGGCCCTTTTGGTCCATGTCGCATGGCATATAGAATGCCATACAAACAATACGTTACTCACAATGAAACAGCTCCCAGAATACGATCACAGATAGGACATCTCGGCCAACGTATGAAATAATTTGTCAATTTTAAACTTTTCAGACTTTGGCGCACATTGGCCGGCCAATGTAGGATAAACGCTGTCAAGTTAAAAGTCTTCGGACTTTGGCCAGTTCGTCCCGGCCAGTCCGCACATTGGCCGGCCAATGTAGGAAAAACGCTGTCAAGTTAAAAGTCTTCGGACTTTGGCCATTTCGTCCCGGCCAGTCCGCGCATTGGCCGGCCAATGTACGAAATACGCTCTCAGTGCTAAGCTCTTCGGGCTTTGGCCAAGAGAGCCGGCACATTGGCTGGTCAATGCGGGCTTTAGCCGTACTTCGGGCTTTGACCTTAATATATATATATATATATATATATATATATATATATATATATATATATATATATATATATATATATATATATATATATATATATATATACATAGTGAGAGAGAGTGAGAGGGGGGGGGATAGAGAGAGAGAGAGACCAAAAACTATGTCCACTCTTTCCTCCGTAAGTTTATTTTTTCTTTGTTTTGTTTAATTAATTTTTGAAACTTTTACAAAGATTTTTGTTAACCCTAATCAAGCAATGTTTGTTGTGCAATCATTAATGCACCCCATGTATACTTAGATTAATGTAATTTGCAACCACTTCATTTTTTCTGCACTCACACTGCAATTCATTTGTGTATACATTTTTTTAATTTCTCTCATTTTAACCCGATTGTGTTTCCATATTCTTTTCACACGTCGTAGATTCCGATGCGGGTCAGCCCCATCTTTGCCCCGCCTCCAATGCGCAGTAATGTACGGAATTATTTTTAATTTCATTTCTTTTTTTGGTATTTTAATTTTTGTACCGTGGCAATGATGGTTGTGTCACTGACATCTTTGTATCATGACAACAAAGTTGGTGACATTGACTCACTTCTGTCATGACAACAATTATGGAGTCACTGACATTTCTTGTCATGACAAACTATGTCAAATTTATCGATATTTTAGCTTTTTTGGCTGTGTTCAAAACCTTAGCACCCCACTCTTTTGGCTGTGTTCAAAACCTTAGCACCCCTCTCTTCTATCGAAATGGTTGCTCCTACTTGTAGACTGGGGATTATCTTTCTTTTTTTTCCCCCAACAATGTCCTATTTTTCATTCTTCCCTATCTGCATAGAGTGACTTCAATAAAAATGAAATGTTAGGGCGGCAATGACTTTATCAACTGTTGAAAGACGCAGTCATATTTTCTTATACATAATAAATGACGATTGGGGCAAAACCAGCACCAACATAATTAAAATTAAATTCCTTTGTCTTTTAAAGGTAGAAAATGTACTTGTGTCAAATACTTTTTTTTAAAAAGATTCGTGTATCTTTAGGCCATTTTATTTTATTATCTAAATATGTAGTGCCTTCCTATAATAGAGTTGTCATTGTGGTAGAGATTAGACCAAAAGTTTTGAACAGCCAAAAAATGTCACAGCTTTCGCAAAAATTGTCACCACCTTTTTTTCTTTCGTAAGAACTGTCACTTTTGCACTTATACAAATTTCATTTATGTATGGTGCACCAAATTATCACAATTGCTTATTTTAAAGTTATTGTTGTTTTTATGCGTCTCACTGCACAGGTTGTGTCCCCTGGTTGTGCTAAAAATAACCGGGTCAACTTTTTTTTTTTTTTTTTTTTTGCTGCTCACTCACGTAGTTGTAGCACACCCACGTGTGGTAGCAGTTAAGTCAAGAAAAAATGGCTTTCATTATGTTAAGCACCTACCACACACAATACGTCAAGTATAAACTTTTTTTGTTTAATTTTTTTTTAATAAGGTTATTAATGATGATAATAATTTGATAAGGTTTAGTTTAAAATTATTTGATAAGGTTAATGAATACAATAATTTGGTAAGGTTTAGTTTAAAATTATTTGATAAGGTTAATGAATAAAATAATTTGATAAAGTTAATGAATAAAATAATTTAATAAGGTTTAGTTTAAAATTAATTGATAAGGTTAATGAAAAAAAATATTTCATAAGGTATTAGTATGAGAGGGCAGAGTGGCATTAGTATGAGAGGGCAGAGAGGCATTAGATAGTATGGGGATGCAGTAGGGATGTAGTATTAGGCAGTGTTTGAAGCATTACCAAAATGGCTTAAGCATGTTTAGTCATTGATTATTTTTTCATGATTCTAATTTACCAATTTCAGACTGGATTGTCTTTTTAAAAGTTGTTTTAAGATTTGTTTTTCCAGCTTTTTAGTTTGCGTTATTTGTCAATCAATGATAATAGAGCTAAGTCCGTCCCTCTGAATTTCTTCGTTTATCAGGTTCAGCATACAACGCTTCTAGCTCCACCCCCTACCCCTGTAGCCGCCCCCACGGCCGGACAGCCGCCCACATTAGTGTCAGCTCCAATTTTAGCTAACCCGGTATGTTTGGTGGTCTACGTCATTTAGTTGGTGGTCTACGTCATCTGTTTGCGTGTCCACGTCATCGTCTGTCAGCACTGTACTAGACTGCAAGTGTCAGCAAATCCATGTGGACACTGCCACTGTCTCGCCGTGTGAAGACAGCCGCTGTCTCGCCGTGTGAAGACAGCCGCTGTCTCGCCGTGTGAAGACAGCCGCTGTCTCGCCGTGTGAAGACAGCCGCTGTCTCGCCGTGTGAAGACAGCCGCTGTCTCGCCGTGTGAAGACAGCCACTGTCTCACCGAGTGAAGACAGCCACTGAACTAATGCCATTGGTGACATGTTTGAAACACATCAAATTCATTTGAAAAGGCTGCGTCCCATGGATTGGTTGGCTAGATCACGTGTATCTAGATCAATTCTTGACCAGTCTAGTTATTCTGTGTAGCCTTTTTTTTTTTTTTTGCCTTTTCAATCATTTTGTGTTGTAGCCACGCCCAGATGTCAGTTTAGCATAAATATAAGTCGTATAGATCTAGATCTAAGCAGAGTTTCTTCCAGGCATCTCTTCGGGGGGGGGGGGCCACCCCCCGAACGAAATGAAATTTATATTATTTATATAGAAAATATATACTTTTAACAGTGTCCGCCCCGCCCCTCGAAGAAAGTCTACCCCCCCCCCCCCCCCCCGAAAATTTCAAGTGCCCCCCCCCCCCCCCCCCCCCCCCGGAGAAAAAGTCTGGAAGAAACACTGGATCTAAGGCCCACTAGGTTATAGCATTATTTAGGTCATTATAAGTATGGCCAATCCTTTAGTGGCCACATTTGCATTTTGATTCAATAGTCACTCTAGGTCTAATTAATTCATGAGATGAGTTAAATTCTAATGTTCTAGGTCTAATTAAGTCATGAGATGAAGTAAGTTAAATTCTAATGTTCTAGGTCTAATTAATTCATGAGATGAGTTAAATTCTAATGTACTCAAGATATAGGGGTCGTCCATAAATGACGTCACACTCGTAGGGGGGAGGGGGTCCGTAATTTTGTGACGGTGTGTGATGAGGGGGGGGGGTCATATCGTGCGACGTCACACTTTTGCTTTATAAAAAAGCAAATATTGTTAGAAAACGAATTTTAGACGTTATTTCGCGTTTTATAACACTTTATACATATGAATTGATTAAAATACTCTATTTTGACAGAGTTCAGACAAGATTTTGGAAAAATATCGATGTTTTAAGAGAAATTCAACTGCAATTTTGAGGGGGGTTGTAGGCTGAGGTGTGACCTCATTTTATGGGGGGGGGTCTGGCTTTTTGTGACGATGTGTGGCGGAGGGGAAGGGGGAGGTAAAAAACGTCCCAAAAAAGCGTGACGTCATTAATGGATAACCCCCATAATCTAGATCTAGTTAGCAGTTAGACCAGGTGTCGAGACATTTTTAAAAATAATAAATCTTGATTTCAATTACGGTTTTTAAATCTCTAAACCAGTGGATTTAATCCATTAACCTCATCCATAGTTCAATAAACTACTTAGATGTAGTAAGCATAAATAAACTCAGGTAGATTCTAGAAGGACTAGCATTCACATTGTTACTTTTGTTTCGTTTCTATATTTCCTCCACCGTAGTTATTTTTTGTTTTTATTTATTGAATTATTTTAAATTTCAAATGTAGAGCTCTAGATAAACCGATCTGTATCTACTAGATCTAGATCTGTATCTACTAGATCTAGATCTGTATCTACTAGATGCTCTGAACGTTCTAATTCTCTGTAGATTGTAATCGTTGAATTTGTTTTTCTATTCTTTAGCCGACTTTGACCTACTCCTGGCACCATCCGTGCATGACCACTAGTCCGGTAAGATTTTTTTTTTAATTCCATCAATTCTAGTCTTTTAGATTCTAATGTAGATAGTAGTTGATCTACTACTAGATTGATAAAGTACAATATGTAGAGGTCAAACGGACGAGTTCGGTAGAATAGGTAGGAACCAATGAGAAGCGAGATGGCCGGTCACGTGAGAAGGTCAGCTGACAGCTGTTGGAAGTTGTTCATTCGAGCGTTTAGCGTATTGTCGTGTGCTAGATAGCGGTTGTAGATAGTTAGTCAGGAGACAGTTAAGATTAGTTCGGGTATAGTTGAGACAGTATGAGCTGCCATATGTAATTTAAAACACTGTGATGTATCTGTGAATTGGACTCGTGTTAGTTATTGTTGGTTCCACCTGGACCTGTGAAGGTTGATCCCTAGGGTGTTGGTAAATTGCGAATCGCGAGAAGGGTGCGAAAACCGCCGGTCACGTGACATTTTTGTCTCGCATCTTACTCCCATTTGATACCTACGCTGGGTCGGGGTAAAATGCGAAGATGTGTGCGAAAATTATACGCACCTGATTTACAATGAATTCTGATGCAGCCTTTGAAAGACGTTTCGTATGTTTTGTTAGCTGATTTTTCCGTCGCTAGATATGCTGATAATTTATCAACTCCTTTTTTGTGTGTGCTACACCTGAGTCTTTCATTTGTTCAACCCGAATAAAGGCCCTCTAAAAAAAAACTTTAAAACTCTAATCTCATTGTTTGGACCTAGATTTATATAGCATGCCTCTAGACATGTTGGGCACATGTTGCTGCCTCTAGACATGTTGGGCACATGTTGCTGCCTCTAGTAATGTTGGGCACATGTTGCTGCCTCTAGACATGTTGGGCACATGTTGCTGCCTCTAGACATGTTGGGCACATGTTGCTGCCTCTAGACATGTTGGGCACATGTTGCTGCCTCTAGACATGTTGGGCACATGTTGCTGCCTCTAGACATGTTGGGCACATGTTGCTGCCTCTAGACATGTTGGGCACATGTTGCTGCCTCTAGACATGTTGGGCACATGTTACCTCTGTGTGTTTTGATCCCATTGTCTTGTTTTTTCAAGCATTACCTCTGTGTTTTGATCTCATGATCTTATTTCTTCAACAGGTTATGTACTGCTCCCCGACATCTTCTCCAGAAAATGGTGGAGCATTTACTGTTAGTGTTAGTTCTTTTCTATTTCTCTTGGGCCAGTGGTGGGTTATATTCACCAGATTAGTTTAATTTGTCTGATCACTTTGAGTCATCAAATTATGTTAATTTATCAGAGTTTAATTTAATTAACCTGATTAATTTTATTTATCTGACTTTATTTATTGATCTCATTGTTTTGATTAATCCAACTAATTAGATTAATCCAACCAATTTTATTAATCCAATTATTTTGATTAATCCAACTATTTTGATTAATCCAACTATTTTGATTTATCCAACTATTTTGTTTAATCCAAATAATTAGATTAATCCAACTAATTTTATTAATCCAACTATTTTGATTAATCCAACTATTTCGATTAATCCAACTAATCAGATTAATCCAACTAATTTTATTAATCCAACTATTTTGATTAATCCAACTATTTCAATTAATCCAACTATTTCGATTAATCCAACTAATTAGATTAATCCAACTGTTTTTATTTAATCCAACTAATTTGATTAATCAAACTAATTTTATTAATCCAACTATTTTGATTAATCCAACTATTTTGATTAATCCAACTAATTAGATTAATCCAACTATTTTGATTAATCCAACTAATTAAATTAATCAAACTAATTTTATTTAATCCAACTATTTTGATTAACCCAACAAATAGATCAATCCAACTAAATAGATTAATCCAACTAGTTTGATTAATCCAACTAATTTGATTAATCCAACTACTTTTATTAATCCAACTATTTTGATTAATCCAACTATTTTGATTAATCCAACTAATTAGATTAGTCCAACTAATTTTATTAATCCAACTATTTCGAGATTGAATAATTTCCCAAAACAAAACATTCTCAACGTGTCTGGTTTCTCATGTTACACCCACCCAGAATTTGTGTTCTAATCCTAATCTTAATCCTAACCCAGAATTTGTGTTCTAACCCTAATCCTAACCCAGAATTTGTGTTCTAACCCTAATCCTAACCCAGAATTTGTGTGCTAACCCTAACCCAGAATTTTTGTGTTTTAATACACCCAATTCATCTCAAACATGGTGTGGAGTATCTTGATAGCAGTGTAGGTCACCAGACACCCAGGCTAAGCTAGAAATCTCATGTCATTTTGACCCCGGCTTAGCTAGAAATTTGATCTTGCACAGTTTGGTTGCACAAATGTACATGTTAGTTTGTTTTTGCTCTCCAATGTTTTGCTGACATTGTCACATGTATTCTGACATTGTCACATGTATTTGACATTGTCACATGTATTCTGACATTGTCACATGTATTCTGACATTGTCACATGTATTCTGACATTGTCACATGTAATTTTGACAATTTATTTTTCTTCAGATCCCCAACTGTATACCCACATCTTCCCAGTCAAGTCTTTCGCTTGCCTCCCCCTGTTCAACTTTATTTGTTGCCAACTTGGGCCAGTTCAGCTCAGAACAAGAGCTCAAGGATTTGTTTAGCAGGTCTTTTAGCTATATTATTTCTAGATATTTATGGCACTCCATTAGGATCTTATTTCATATTTAGCAGGTCTTTTAGCTACATTATTTATAGCAATTTATGGCACTCCATTAGGATCTTATTTTATATTTAGCAGGTCTTTTAGCTACTTTATTTATAGCAATTTATGGCACTCCATTAGGATCTTATTTCATATTTAGCAGGTCTTTTAGCTACTTTATTTATAGCAATTTATGGCACTCCATTAGGATCTTATTTCATATTTAGCAGATCTTTTAGCTACATTATTTATAGCAATTTATGGCACTCCATTAGGATCTTATTTCATATTTAGCAGGTCTTTTAGCTACATTATTTATAGCAATTTATGGCACTCCATTAGGATCTTATTTCACCAAACTAGCCAAGAGTTATTGTTCTACTTTTTCCAATTGTATTTTTAGTTTCCAAGGTTTTGTTCGCCTGAGAATGCACAACAAAGGGGGATCACCAGTTGCTTTTGTAGAATTCCAGGTTTGTTATTATCCTTACCTCCCTTAGTCTTCTACCCCAAACCTTGAAGTATCAAATGTGCTAACTCCAGCATTAAACTGTTCAGGATGTCAGGCAAGCACAGGAAGCTATGACCAGACTTCAGGGCTTTGTCCTGCTGTCCTCTGACCGGGGGGGTATCAGGATTGAGTACGCCAAGAACAAGATGGGGGAAGTGGTAAACAACTTTTAAACACTCTACCTTATAAACAACTTTTAAACACTCTACCTTATAAACAAGGTTTAAACACTCTACCTTATAAACAAGGTTTAAACATTCTACCTTATAAACAACTTTTAAACATTCTACCTTATAAACAACTTTTAAACATTCTATCTTATAAACAACTTTTAAACATTCTATCTTATAAACAACTTTTAAACATTCTACCTTATAAACCCAAGTTTTAAACACTCTACCTTATAAACAAGGTTTAAACATTCTACCTTATAAACAAGGTTTAAACATTCTACCTTATAAACAACTTTTAAACACTCTATCTTATAAACAACTTTTAAACACTCTATCTTATAAACAAGGTTTAAACACTCTATCTTATAAACAACTTTTAAACACTCTACCTTATAAACAACTTTTAAACACTCTACCTTATAAACAACTTTTAAACACTCTACCTTATAAACAACTTTTAAACACTCTACCTTATAAACAACTTTTAAACACTCTACCTTATAAACAACTTTTAAACACTCTACCTTATAAACAACTTTTAAACACTCTACCTTATAAACAAGGTTTAAACACTCTACCTTATAAACAAGGTTTAAACACTCTACCTTATAAACTAGGTTTAAACACTCTACCTTATAAACAACTTTTAAACACTCTATCTTATAAACAACTTTTAAACACTCTACCTTATAAACAAGGTTTAAACACTCTACCTTATAAACAAGGTTTAAACACTCTACCTTATAAACAAGGTTTAAACACTCTACCTTATAAACAAGGTTTAAACACTCTATCTTATAAACAAGGTTTAAACACTCTACCTTATAAACAAGGTTTAAACACTCTACCTTATAAACAAGGTTTAAACACTCTACCTTATAAACAAGGTTTAAACACTCTACCTTATAAACAACTTTTAAACACTCTACCTTATAAACAAGGTTTAAACACTCTACCTTATAAACAAGGTTTAAACACTCTACCTTATAAACAAGGTTTAAACACTCTACCTTATAAACAAGGTTTAAACACTCTACCTTATAAACAAGGTTTAAACACTCTACCTTATAAACAACTTTTAAACACTCTACCTTATAAACAAGGTTTAAACACTCTACCTTATAAACAAGGTTTAAACACTCTACCTTATAAACAAGGTTTAAACACTCTACCTTATAAACAAGGTTTAAACACTCTACCTTATAAACAACTTTTAAACACTCTACCTTATAAACAAGGTTTAAACACTCTACCTTATAAACAACTTTTAAACACTCTACCTTATAAACAAGGTTTAAACACTCTACCTTATAAACAACTTTTAAACACTCTACCTTATAAACAAGGTTTAAACACTCTACCTTATAAACAACTTTTAAACACTCTACCTTATAAACAAGGTTTAAACACTCTACCTTATAAACAACTTTTAAACACTCTTATAAACAAGGTTTAAACACTCTACCTTATAAACAAGGTTTAAACATTCTACCTTATAAACAAGGTTTAAACACTCTACCTTATAAACAAGGTTTAATATTCTACCTTATAAACAACTTTTAAACACTCTACCTTATAAACAAGGTTTAATATTCTACCTTATAAACAACTTTTAAACATTCTATCTTATAAACAAGGTTTAATATTCTACCTTGTAAACCCAAGTTTTAAATGCTTTATTTTTTAACACTTCTCCTTTAAAATACTGAGTGTAAGTAGTTGTGACATTTTGTGACATACTTCTTGTTGGTTCCAGTATTTCCTGCCCCCACAATTCCCTGGAGGGAAAGAGATTCCAATAGTGCAGTCCCCTGTGTCAATGGCAGCTGTCTTCTAGAGTCAAGGAGCGTGTGTCCCAATTGATCAGCTTCACACAGATCATGTAAATACCAATTGATTGAAATGGAGATAGGGGTTTTTTAATGTTTGAATTCTCATAGCCATGTTACACTGTATAAGAAAATATTTTGCAAGGTTTTTATGAAAAAATTGGTGACTCAAATATAAAATAAAGGAAAAACTAAAACATAAGTATACAATAGTGTTGGGTTAGGGCTAGAGCATACAATAATGTTGGATAGATCAATCAAATCTGTTTTATTGAGTAGCAAAAAGAAAATGTCATTGATGAAGTACATTTATGCTTTCATCTTTTGTAGCATAATATTTAATATTGAAATATGGTTTTTACTGTGTGTTCTCTTTTTTATTTATTCTTTTTATATTTTATAATAATCTTTTTGATTAATGTCATTGTATTCATTGCCTATTGTTGACTTGCCTCAAGTTGACATTTGTAATATTGACTTGTCTCAAGTTGACATTTGTAACATTGACTTGTCTCAAGTTGACATTCGTAATGTTGACTTGTCTCAAGTTGCCATTTGTAATGTTGACTTGTCTCAAGTTGACATTTGTAATGTTGACTTGTCTCAAGTTGACATTTGTAATGTTGACTTGTCTCAAGTTGACATTTGTAATGTTGACTTGTCTCAAGTTGACATTTGTAATGTTGACTTGTCTCAAGTTGACATTTGTAATGTTGACTTGTCTCAAGTTGACATTTGTAATGTTGACTTGTCTCAAGTTGACATTTGTAATGCTGACTTGTCTCAAGTTGACATTTGCAATGTTGACTTGTCTCAAGTTGACATTTGTAATGTTGACTTGTCTCAAGTTGACATTTGTAATGTTGACTTGTCTCAAGTTGACATTTGTAATGTTGACTTGTCTCAAGTTGACATTTGTAATGTTGACTTGTCTCAAGTTGACATTTGTAATGTTGACTTGCCTCAAGTTGACATTTGTAATGTTGACTTGTCTCAAGTTGACATTTGTAATGTTGACTAGCCTCAAGTTGACATTTATAATGTTGACTTTGAAATGTGTATTATAGTAGTGTTACATATGCAGGGACATGAAACGTGATGCTATTTATTATGTCTACAGCTGGGGTAAACTTGGGGACTCCATACGTCAACTGGACCCTATGTGACATGGGTCTCAAACATTTTCTAAATTCTAAGTACCCTTGTTCCTTAGAGTGGCAATATGTTCCTCCCCCAGACTCTCCTGTTTGGTGAGGGGAGACAAGCACTAATCTCATGCAATAGTTGAGCTCAGGACTTGCTTCCCCTTTACAGTTTGGCCTTTACGGTCCTTTTACTCATCTGAATTATTTCCCTTCTTCTTGTAACTTTGAAGCAATCAACGAAAATCTTGTACTAATCCACTGGATGATGGATGAAGTGTTGAGACTACATGTCTTATTGTGATAACTGTACTAGCAACCACTGGCCATAACCAGTCAACTTTGTTAAACCATCAGTTGAACCATCAGTTGAACTAGAAGTAAACTTTTGTTTGACATGTGCCAACTTTATTTTTCTCATGATTTTCAGTTTTGCTTTCTAACAGTTCTGGAGAATTTTTATCCGATTGTTTTTTATGTAGCAACTTTTAATAATTTGAATTAGCAATATAATTGGTTTGTTTACTTGAGCAATATTTATAGCCAGCAATCTTTGAATGATAAGCAAATTTGTTGAGTGTTTAAACATTTTTTTATGTTGCATAATACATGCTGGGTTCAAGATGGCTCAAGAAAAAAATCCTCATAAAAGATTCAGTCTACACTACACGCACGCAGTTCAACATGCACGCAGTTCTGGCCTTTAAAACCTACAAACCTGGCCACTTAACTAAAGGGTTAACCCTTTAAGTGCTTAGCTGTGCAATAATTAACATAAAATCCTAATTAGATGAAGTTTTACAAAATTGATCCAACTATCTTTGTAAACCTGAAATGTGTAAGACTTGACCTGTTTGTTGTTAGAACAGGTGTTTTGACAGGTCCGGTTGATTGTGTTTACATTTTTTTTCTCATTTCTTGTTTGATGTGTTAAAATCTTATCAGCTTTTTGTGATTTGAATGCTTGGACTCCTTTGAGGCAGAAAGTTGTTTCAAGTCATGTGATTGATGTCATGTGACTTATTATTCTAGTCTTGATGATCTCCACTCTCTCTCATAGCATTTGACTCTTCCACACAGAAGATAAATTTTCTAAGAACTAGACAGGCTTTGGGCCTACCTACTGCTTTAGACATGTTATTTAGTTCAACGGTCTAAGCTTCAAAAACATTTTTTTTTTACTATTCGACTTTTGAGTTTTGTTAAAAGATGAACTATTGCAAAAATTGTGCTTTAATCTTTATGAGGAAGTGTAAACCACATAGAATTGCTTTGTTTTAATGCTTTTTAATATCAAGATGTTCTAACGTGTATGAAATATTTTTGTACACAATTGTAACTAACTTATCAATCAAAATGTCTTACTAGAGTAGTGTTTTTTTTGTATTATAACTGATATAATTCCAACTTTTTATTATATTGTTTAAATTTATAATTTTATCAATACTATAATCATATCAATAATATCATTTTACAAGTATAATTCCAAGAAATCTGGAGCTGCCTTTAGCATGTTTGACAAGCATATCTTGCAGTTTTAAGTGGGAGGTGGCACAGCAACATGGGGGTGTCAAACAGGAAGTGTCACAGCAAACAGGAAGTGCCACAGCAAACAGGAAGTGTCACAAAAACCCAAACTTGTAGAATGTTTATTGAAGGAACCATTTTTTTTATAACTGTGAGGCCTTTGATTCATGTCTTACTAAAGATTTTATACCATGCATGATCACACTTTATCATTTTTTGTTATTGGTATACAAACTCTATTTCTTTCAACTGTTTTCTTGTATGACTTTAAGCCTGATTTAACAGGGTTCCCAAGTTGTTCTTCATTGTACCTCCATGCAATTTTGTGTCATAAATTAAAGACTATTAAAATAAAAATCAGAAGCCATTAATCCAAGAATGAGTGTATCAAAGTAATAATCCCAAAAATATTTTACCTTGTGACCCAAGTCAAATATTTGTTCTCAATTTCACTCTTTGCTTTTTTTCATATTTTTTTTTATTAAATCAAAAGCCCTGTTACGAATTATGCATTGCATATTGTTGTTTTATTATGCCTGTTTTATGGTTTTTATTTAATGTCTTTTTTAAAACCCATGGTTTCAGCAACAAAATTTAATTTGCTTTTCATAAACTGGAAATTTTATGGTTTTTGGAATGGATTTGAAGCCTTCAAGTTGAGGCCTATAGAAACCATGGGTTTTTCCTTGTGTCCTGCCTGTCCTCTGTCGTCATTTTAAACATGGTTTCCCCGAGCAACGATATTTGATAACATAAAGTAGATACTTTACAGTAACGAAATTAGTAGAATTTTTTACACTTCTTGTCATTTTTAAATCTTTGAAAGATTGTTCCCGCTTGTTAATAGCATTTTTTTACCTGAACCTTTGAGCCCCAGTTGGTGATGTGATGACTCTGCTATTGTAGACTTGTTGGCTTGCACCTTCAGGCTGGTGGGAGCAGGTTTACCATACGATATCCTCAACAGATTTATGCATTTTTTTAAAATGTATTTTGATGTTATTGTATGTTAATCTTTATGCATAATTATGTTGGAAATGGAAGAAAAATGGTTTTTTTTTTTCAAAAAGGTGATTTTTTTAAATTGGAAGAATTTTCATGTAAATATATCTATTAAAACAGATTTTTTTTTCCATATTTGTTCTGTGACTTCTGAGAAAAAAACTCCAAATATTCTCGGCAAAGATCTACCACACAAGACAGCGTAGCTATTGTAAGTGAACAGGGCTAGCTAGATGTTTTTTGAAATGTTAAAGCACTGAATGATGTCAGTTTGATTTCCTCCCTCCAACTAGTGCTGAAAGATTGTGATCTGAACATTCCAAGACTACAAACTTCATGTTGTACTTGTTCATATTTTGTAGGATTCAATTTTTTTCGTGCTCTTCTAAAGATAGCAATGGTGTGAGAAATTTTTTCTTTCTCAATTTCAAACTGTTTTATAAAGAGTAGCCTGGTGAATATGTTGGCAAACCACTGAACAAAGTTCACATAGCAACTCTTAAATTTGCTTTTTTAAAAGCTTATTTTGTCTTTAGATAGCATTTGCAGAAATTTCAAAATTGCGTTAAATTTCAAAGTTTGAATAAATATTGAATTTTTTTATTTTATTTAATGAAGCATTTTAATTACAAAAAATATAATTACATTTTAATTACAAAAAAAATAATATTCTTAAGGATTTTATTTGCATGTTTTGTTTAGCAAAATTTGTTTTGTGGCTTAATAGTTTTTAATAAAAATGTTTCGTAACATTCTATTTTTTAATTTTGTTTTTGCAAATTTCTTTAAAACCTTATTTATTGTCTCTTCTAAATTTGAAGGTTATCATCAAATATTTCAAGTTTGTATGTTTACTGCCTTTATAACAATTTTTTTTCTCAAATTTCAATCAGAAATATAATTCTATTTTTAAAAAATAATTTTCTCAGATACCTATTTAAACTACTTCTTACTTGGAACAAGTCATTGTTATTCAATGTGTATACTTTTAGATGACTACATTTGTACTTTGGTGTTACACAGCCAAATTTGTTTAAGAAGACTGCTAGTCTTCAAAGGCTTTTTTTTCCTAAACATTTGTATGGCTGATACAAAAACTTACATTTAAATGGGTAGTTCTTTTGACAAGTGGGATTTAATCAACTTTATTATGTTGTAGTTCTGTTCATCTTTTCCCCAATAAATACAATTTGAATCCAAGTGCTGATTTTGTTTGCTGGTCTCTTGACAACAGTTGACTTTCTTTGAGTGTCATGACAACCAATCTTGTACCAATCATACTACATACATAAACAAAACCATCTGGGAAAGTTCATTTCATTTATATCAACAGTCCAATAATGAACTTGAAACAAAATATAATCATTTAGCATTCAATGTACACATTCACAAATTGGTATTACCTCAACTCCACACAAATACCAACCACACATTGCCAACTCCACACAAATACCAACCACACATTGCCAACTCCACACAAATACCAACCACACATTGCCAACTCCACACAAATACCAACCACACATTGCCAACTCCACACAAATACCAACCACACATTGCCAACTCCACACAAATACCAACCACACATTGCCAACTCCACACAAATACCAACCACACATTGCCAACTCCACACAAATACCAACCACACATTGCCAACTCCACACAAATACCAACCACACATTGCCAACTCCACACAAATACCAACCACTGTTGTAAAATGTGTATGCCACTTCCCCTCGGATAGGACACTTTCAATCTAGTCCTAGATAGATCACAAAGTAGGACACTTTCAATCTAGTCCTAGATAGATCACAAACTTAAGTAGGACACTTTCAATCTAGTCCTAGATAGATCACAAACTTAAGTAGGACACTTTCAATCTAGTCCTAGATAGATCACAAACTTAAGTAGGACACTTTCAATCTAGTCCTAGATAGATCACAAACTTAAGTAGGACACTTTCAATCTAGTCCTAGATAGATCACAAACTTAAGTAGGACACTTTCAATCTAGTCCTAGATAGATCACAAACTTAAGTAGGACACTTTCAATCTAGTCCTAGATAGATCACAAACTTAAGTAGGACACTTTTAATCTAGTCCTAGATAGATCACAAACTTAAGTAGGACACTTTCAATCTAGTCCTAGATAGATCACAAACTTAAGTAGGACACTTTCAATCTAGTCCTAGATAGATCACAAACTTAAGTAGGACACTTTCAATCTAGTCCTAGATAGATCACAAACTTAAGTAGGACACTTTCAATCTAGTCCTAGATAGATCACAAACTTAAGTAGGACACTTTCAATCTAGTCCTAGATAGATCACAAACTTAAGTAGGACACTTTTAATCTAGTCCTAGATAGATCACAAACTTAAGTAGGACACTTTCAATCTAGTCCTAGATAGATCACAAACTTAAGTAGGACACTTTCAATCTAGTCCTAGATAGATCACAAACTTAAGTAGGACACTTTCAATCTAGACCTAGATAGATCACAAACTTAAGTAGGACACTTTCAATCTAGTCCTAGATAGATCACAAACTTAAGTAGGACACTTTCAATCTAGACCTAGATAGATCACAAACTTAAAGATTTGTGACACACCAAGAGGTGAGTCACCCAACCCTAACAAAAACTACAATTCAATATCTGGGTGCCTCTAGCACTACACACTTGCTTAAATATTTACAATAACATTAAGCTCACCCTCCCCTCTCCTCACTCACCCTCCAGTCCCTCACTCACCCTCCCCTCTCCTCACTCACCCTCTCCTCAATCACCTTCCAGTCCCTCACTCACCCTCCCCTCTCCTCAATCACCCTCATCCTCCAACTCTACTTCCTCCTCCTCCTCTAATGTAATGCCCTCCTCCTGCTCTCCATGCTCCTCTGTTTGCTGAAAAAATTAAATATGTAATTAAAAATTACATCACTCAACACCATCCAACAAAATTACATCACTCAACACCATCCAACAAAATTACATCTGTCAACACCATCCAACAAAATTACATCACTCAACACCATCCAACAAAATTAGATCTGTCAACACCATCCAACAAAATTACATCAGTCAACACCATCCAACAAAATTACACCAGTCATCACAATTCCAACAAAATTAGATCTGTCAACACCATCCAACAAAATTAGATCTGTCAACACCATCCAACAAAATTAGATCTGTCAACATCATCCAACAAAATTAGATCTGTCAACACCATCCAACAAAATTAGATCTGTCAACACCATCCAACAAAATTAGATATTTTAGAGATATTCCAAGTAATGAATGAATACTGAAATAATCATTATTTTAAGGTTTTGTAATCATAAATTGAGATTATCAGTAGTGACATTCTAACATCTTCACATTTGAAATTGTCAGTAGCTTTAACATTTCAAACAACATTGCCCCCTATTTTGTCCCAAAATGAACTATGACAATACCTCTTCAACTTGAGCCTCTATCTGACTCTCTTGACTTAAACCAGCAGTTGACTCTTCAATGATCAAGTTCCCATCCTCATCTGTCATGTGGCTCATCACTGGACAAGTAACAAAACATCAGCTTAACCCAACAGATATTGACATGAACTAAGGCTTAACCCAACAGATATTGACATGAACTAAGCCCTAACCCAACAGATATTGACATGAACTAAGCCCTAACCCAACAGATATTGACATGAACTAAGCCCTAACCCAACAGATATTGACATGAACTAAGCCCTAACCCAACAGATATTGACATAAACTAAGCCCTAACCCAACAGATATTGTCATGAACTAAGCCCTAACCCAACAGATACTGTCATGAACTAAGCCCTAACCCAACAGATATTGACATGAACTAAGCCCTAACCCAACAGATATTGACATGAACTAAGCCCTAACCCAACAGATATTGACATGAACTAAGGCTTAACCCAACAGATATTGTCATGAACTAAGCCCTAACCCAACAGATATTGACATGAACTAATCCCTAACCCAACAGATATTGACATGAACTAATCCCTAACCCAACAGATATTGACATGAACTAAGCCCTAACCCAACAGATATTGACATGAACTAATCCCTAACCCAACAGATATTGACATGAACTAAGCCCTAACCCAACAGATATTGACATGAACTAAGGCTTAACCCAACAGATATTGACATGAACTAAGCCCTAACCCAACAGATATTGACATGAACTAAGCCCTAACCCAACAGATATTGACATGAACTAAGCCCTAACCCAACAGATATTGACATGAACTAATCCCTAACCCAACAGATATTGACATGAACTAAGCCCTAACCCAACAGATATTGTCATGAACTAAGCCCTAACCCAACAGATATTGACATGAACTAAGCCCTAACAACACAGATATTGACATGAACTAATCCCTAACCCAACAGATATTGACATGAACTAATCCCTAACCCAACAGATATTGACATGAACTAAGCCCTAACCCAACAGATATTGACATGAACTAAGCCCTAACCCAACAGATATTGACATGAACTAAGCCCTAACCCAACAGATATTGACACGAACTAAGCCCTAACCCAGATATTCTCATGAACTAAGCCCTAACCCAACAGATATTGACATGAACTAAGCCCTAACCCAACAGATATTGACATGAACTAAGCCCTAACCCAACAGATATTGACATGAACTAAGCCCTAACCCAACAGATATTGACATGAACTAAGCCCTAACCCAACAGATATTGACATGAACTAAGCCCTAACCCAGATATTCTCATGAACTAAGCCCTAACCCAACAGATATTGACATGAACTAAGCCCTAACCCAACAGATATTGTCATGAACTAAGCCCTAACCCAACAGATATTGTCATGAACTAAGCCCTTACCCAACAGATATTGACATGAACTAAGCCCTAACCCAACAGATATTGACATGAACTAAGCCCTAACCCAACAGATATTGCCATGAACTAAGCCCTAACCCAACAGATATTGACATGAACTAAGCCCTAACCCAACAGATATTGACATGAACTAAGCCCTAACCCAACAGATATTGACATAAACTAAGCCCTAACCCAACAGATATTGACATGAACTAATCCCTAACCCAACAGATATTGACATGAACTAATCCCTAACCCAACAGATATTGACATGAACTAAGCCCTAACCCAACAGATATTGACATGAACTAAGCCCTAACCCAACAGATATTGACATGAACTAATCCCTAACCCAACAGATATTCTCATGAACTAAGCCCTAACCCAACAGATATTGACATGAACTAAGCCCTAACCCAACAGATATTGACATGAACTAAGCCCTAACCCAACAGATATTGCCATGAACTAAGCCCTAACCCAACAGATATTGACATGAACTAAGCCCTAACCCAACAGATATTGACATGAACTAAGCCCTAACCCAACAGATATTGCCATGAACTAAGCCCTAACCCAACAGATATTGACATGAACTAATCCCTAACCCAACAGATATTGACATGAACTAAGCCCTAACCCAACAGATATTGACATGAACTAAGCCCTAACCCAACAGATATTGCCATGAACTAAGCCCTAACCCAACAGATATTGACATGAACTAAGCCCTAACCCAACAGATATTGACGTGAACTAATCCCTAACCCAACAGATATTGACATGAACTAAGCCCTAACCCAACAGATATTGACATGAACTAAGCCCTAACCCAACAGATATTGCCATGAACTAAGCCCTAACCCAACAGATATTGACATGAACTAAGCCCTAACCCAACAGATATTGACATGAACTAAGCCCTAACCCAACAGATATTGACATGAACTAAGCCCTAACCCAACAGATATTGACATGAACTAAGCCCTAACCCAACAGATATTGACATGAACTAAGCCCTAACCCAACAGATATTGACATGAACTAAGCCCTAACCCAACAGATATTGACATGAACTAAGCCCTAACCCAACAGATATTGACATGAACTAAGCCCTAACCCAACAGATATTGACATGAACTAAGCCCTAACTTAACTGACCTCCTTCCTGTTCCTCATGGATTATTGCCTCCTCCATAATGATTTCTCCGCCCTCCTCGTCTGAATCATCCTCTGCTCTTGTTATAATGGTAATCACATGCTACAGATTATATAATCACATGCTAGTCAATGATTCAAACAGATTACATAATCACATTCTAGTCAATGATTTAAAGATCAGTGCAGAAAAGCTTTACAAGATTAAGATTAACTCTGTCCAAATCATCTTTACTTGTATGACAAATACACAATTTGAGTAGGTACTGTATCTAACTGGGGATGGTGTGGTCTAGTGGAAGAGAACTAGACGAGTTCAAATCTAGTAGAAGAGAACTAGACGAGTTCAAATCTGGGTTCTACTCAGTAGACCGTCCCTGAGTCCACCCTGCTCTGATGGGTACCTAACTCAAGTTAGGGTAAGTATAGGCAGCTGGGCATAGTGCTGACCACACCATCCCTTCATATGCTGAGGTCACAGAAACAGGTGCACTCTACTTCACTTGCCCCATAAGTTTGGAAGGGAAACTTTACTGTATCTAACAAAGAAGTAGAGTACTAGAACTAACTATAGAGCCAGTAACTATAAACATTAAGACTTGACAGCTGTTACCTCCCCGTCCTCCTCATCCCCCCCCTCAACATGAGCGCCTGTGTGTTCAACTATTGCCTCCTCTGTGATCTCCTCCCCAATACCTTCTGCCATTTCCTCACCATCCTCTTCAGTGGCCTCACCAACCAAGGCTGCCTCTTGCTGGATGAACTGGTTCAATGCTATTTTACCTGCCTCTGTCACAACAAATGGACTCATCTGAACAACATCTTAAAAACTTGCCTACTTAGACATGCTTACACCAGACTTGCTTACCCCAGATTTGCCTACCCCAGACATGCTTACCGTAGACATGCTTACACCAGACTTGCTTACCCCAGACATGCCTACCGTAGACGTGCTTACCCCAGACGTGCCTACCGTAGACGTGCTTACCCCAGGCGTGCCTACCGTAGACGTGCCTACCCCAGACGTGCTTACCCCAGACGTGCTTACCCCAGACGTGCTTACCCCAGACGTGCTTACCCCAGACGTGCTTACCCCAGACGTGCTTACCCCAGACGTGCTTACCCCAGACGTGCTTACCCCAGACGTGCCTACCGTAGACGTGCCTACCGTAGACGTGCCTACCGTAGACGTGCCTACCGTAAACGTGCCTACCCCAGACGTGCCTACCGTAGACGTGCCTACCGTAAACGTGCCTACCGTAGACGTGCTTACCCCAGACATGCCTACCGTAGACGTGTTTACCCCAGACGTGCCTACCGTAGACGTGCTTATCCCAGACGTGCCTACCGTAGACGTGCCTACCGTAGACGTGCCTACCGTAGACGTGCTTACCCCAGACGTGCCTACCGTAGACGTGCCTACCGTAGACGTGCCTACCGTAGACGTGCTTACCCCAGACGTGCCTACCGTAGACGTGCTTACCCCAGACGTGCCTACCGTAGACGTGCCTACCCCAGACGTGCCTACCGTAGACGTGCCTACCGTAGACGTGCCTACCGTAGACGTGCCTACCGTAGACGTGCCTACCGTAGACGTGCTTACCCCAGACGTGCGACCCTAGACATGCCTAACACTGGCGACCAAAAGTAGGAACAGTCATACCAAAAAAAGAAGTCAAAAAGTAAAAGAGGAACATACACATGGATGCTTCTTTCTTAAGCCAAAAAATAAATAGGGAGCCATAAAACATTATCTTATTAACACATGACCTGTGTGTGTGATGGCCTGTGTGTGAGTGTGGAGGCCTGTGAGTGTGGTGGCCACTAGTTACCTGTGAGTGTGATGGTTTGGCCACTCTCTACAGCAGATGTGATCAAACTGCCATCACTGGATATCATGGTAATCCCCTGACTCTCCAACCAACTCATGGCCTCTGATGTTGATGTCTGATCTAGTCAATCAATCAAAAGTTGAATCAGCTCTCATCTAATTAAGACTAATCTATCAATCAATCAATCAAAAGTTCAATAAGCTCTCATCTAATTAAGACTAATCTATAAAAAAATGTTCCTACCAGAATTGGGAGCTGTAGCCTCAGCCAATGCAGCCAGTGTGGCCAGTACAGATGTGCTACTCTGGTCTGTTGAGTCATCGGGTTCTGATTTGATCACTGAGCGAAAAGAAACGACTTTTTAGGAAGTCAAAAAAAAAATACTGGTTAGACAAGTTCTGAATTTATCAAGTGCAAGATGACATCTGTTAGACTAGAGAAAGATGACATCTGTTAAACTAGTGCAAGATGACATCTGTTAAACTAGTGCAAGATGACATCTGTTAAACTAGTGCAAGACGACATCTGTTAAACTAGTGCAAGATGACATCTGTTAAACTAGTGCAAGACGACATCTGTTAAACTAGTGCAAGACGACATCTGTTAAACTAGTGCAAGATGACATCTGTTAAACTAGAGAAATATGACACCTGTTAAACTAGTGCAAGATGACATCTGTTAAACTAGAGAAAGATGACATCTGTTAAACTAGAGAAAGATGACATCTGTTAGACTAGAGAAAGATGACATCTGTGTATGTAAACTAGTGCAAGATGACATCTGTTAAACTAGTGCAAGATGACATCTGTTAAACTAGTGCAAGATGACATCTGTTAAACTAGTGCAAGATATCAGGTCAACAAATAGATGATGACCTTAAGGAGACCAGTAGAAAGTTTGAGTGAGAACAAGAGATGAGACTCACATTTATCAGTGTCTATGACCAGTCCGTCCACCCCATCACTAGTGGAGACAGTCTCTGTGACCAAGGTTTCTGGAGTCTCTATGGTGATGGTGTCTGAGTCTTCAAGCACTCCAGATGCATCTTGGTGGAGCTGAAGCAGCTGGGCTATATCTGTACGTCCATTAGCCAGTGCTATGTCCAGCGGGGTGCGGTTAAACTACAACAGTAAAAACATGAGTCACTCAAGCCAATCTGTATAGTCACTTGGGCCAGTCAGTTGAGTCACCTGGGCCAACCAGTTGAGTCACCTGGGCCAACCAGTTGAGTCACCTGGGCCAACCAGTTGAGTCACCTGGGCCAACCAGTTGAGTCACCTGGGCCAACCAGTTGAGTCACCTGGGCCAACCAGTTGAGTCACATGGGCCAACCAGTTGAGTCACCTGGGCAGTATAATGACCCAGGCTAGCCAATATATCTACCCTAGACCCAGCCAGTATATCTACCCTAGACCCAGCCAGTATATCTACCCTAGACCCAGCCAGTATATCTACCCTAGACCCAGCCAGTATATCTACCCTAGACCCAGCCAGTATATCTACCCTAGACCCAGCCAGTATATCTACCCTAGACCCAGCCAGTATATCTACCCTAGACCCAGCCAGTATATCTACCTTAGACCCAGCCAGTATATCTACCCTAGACCCAGCCAGTATATCTACCCTAGACCCAGCCAGTATATCTACCTTAGACCCAGCCAGTATATCTACCTTAGACCCAGCCAGTATATCTACCCTAGACCCAGCCAGTATATCTACCCTAGACCCAGCCAGTATATCTACCCTAGACCCAGCCAGTATATCTACCCTAGACCCAGCCAGTATATCTACCCTAGACCCAGCCAGTATATCTACCCTAGACCCAGCCAGTATATCTACCCTAGACCCAGCCAGTATATCTACCCTAGACCCAGCCAGTATATCTACCTTAGACCCAGCCAGTATATCTACCCTAGACCCAGCCAGTATAATGACCCAGGCTAGCCAGTATAATGACCCAGGCTAGCCAGTATATCTACCCTAGACCCAGCCAGTATATCTACCCTAGACCCAGCCAGTATATCTACCCTAGACCCAGCCAGTATATCTACCTTAGACCCAGCCAGTATATCTACCCTAGACCCAGCCAGTATATCTACCCTAGACCCAGCCAGTATATCTACCCTAGACCCAGCCAGTATATCTACCCTAGACCCAGCCAGTATATCTACCCTAGACCCAGCCAGTATATCTACCCTAGACCCAGCCAGTATATCTACCCTAGACCCAGCCAGTATATCTACCCTAGACCCAGCCAGTATATCTACCCTAGACCCAGCCAGTATATCTACCCTAGACCCAGCCAGTATATCTACCCTAGACCCAGCCAGTATATCTACCCTAGACCCAGCCAGTATATCTACCCTAGACCCAGCCAGTATATCTACCCTAGACCCAGCCAGTATATCTACCCTAGACCCAGCCAGTATATCTACCCTAGACCCAGCCAGTATATCTACCCTAGACCCAGCCAGTATATCTACCCTAGACCCAGCCAGTATATCTACCTTAGACCCAGCCAGTATATCTACCCTAGACCCACCCAGTATATCTACCCTAGACCCAGCCAGTATATCTACCTTAGACCCAGCCAGTATATCTACCCTAGACCCAGCCAGTATATCTACCCTAGACCCAGCCAGTATATCTACCCTAGACCCACCCAGTATATCTACCCTAGACCCAGCCAGTATATCTACCCTAGACCCAGCCAGTATATCTACCCTAGACCCAGCCAGTATATCTACCCTAGACCCAGCCAGTATATCTACCCTAGACCCAGCCAGTATATCTACCCTAGACCCAGCCAGTATATCTACCCTAGACCCAGCCAGTATATCTACCCTAGACCCAGCCAGTATATCTACCCTAGACCCAGCCAGTATATCTACCCTAGACCCAGCCAGTATATCTACCCTAGACCCAGCCAGTATATCTACCTTAGACCCAGCCAGTATATCTACCTTAGACCCAGCCAGTATATCTACCCTAGACCCAGCCAGTATATCTACCCTAGACCCAGCCAGTATATCTACCCTAGACCCAGCCAGTATATCTACCCTAGACCCAGCCAGTATATCTACCCTAGACCCAGCCAGTATATCTACCCTAGACCCAGCCAGTATATCTACCTTAGACCCAGCCAGTATATCTACCCTAGACCCACCCAGTATATCTACCCTAGACCCAGCCAGTATATCTACCCTAGACCCAGCCAGTATATCTACCCTAGACCCAGCCGGTATAGTGGCCAGGATCAACAAGAACATTGCCATGAAGTCAACTATCTCTATACACAATTGACCTACTCACCTTGTCCTCAAGTGTAACATCTGCCCCATTTCTAATTAACTGGCCAATGATTGACACATGGCCTTTTTCTGTCGACCAGTGGAGGGGTGTCATCTTTAGCTAGGTAAGAACAAAAGTAGCTTGAATAAAAACGTTCTTAAAAACAGGCTTCAAAATGCACTCTTAATAAACATCAATTTTTCTCTACATAAATTAATTAAATACATTAAATAGAAAAATGGTTTATATATTCCATACATAGAGTTTGCAGCAGAACAAATTTTGTTTTAGCAATGTGTTTTTTTTATTTACTTAAAAACAACAATATACTTTGAAATGAGTGGTGGATTTCAATTTTAATACAAATCTAAGCATTAACTTCACTTTCAGAACTTTTATGGAATAATTTTATTTCTAGATCTAGCCTATTGTTTAATTTGTGTAGCCTATTCAACAACTGTGTAGGTTAAATCTAGATATCAGTTAAATTAGGTCACCATTCTAAGATTCTAGATGTTACTTTTAATTATGTTTAATGCATCTGATCTATTATAAGTAGTATTATAATGAATGCATCTATATATAATTTAAATTGGTTTAAGGACCAGTTCTGGTTATACTTTCTGGCTGGTAGTGTGTCAGTCCTTCGGTCATCACTATAGATTTTGGAACCTTAAAAGTAAACATCGCACCATGCAGTGCTTTTCAGTGCATCGCAGTGTCTGATAAGTAATAGAGTAGGGTTTGCTTATATAACGACATAAAGTTATTTTATAGTTGCCACTGTTTTTACTCTTTTGCATAATGTAAAGAAAATATTAAATACATGCACATTGCTAAAACATTTTAAAAGTATCAATGTCAAATATCATTTTCGTTTATATTCCTAGAAAAAGTGGATACGTTTTCATAACAGTAGGTTTGAAAAAACGAATTAATTCAACTTTTTTTGTTTTTAATTTTTGCAAGGAAGGTAATTTAAAAATAAATTTAACTCGTCAATAATTGACGCTTTGATTATTATATGTTACGGTTCATAATTAAAATAGAAAAATGTTAAGATTATTTATATTATTTTCTAATTAGTCTATGATTTCTCAAAGTCACTATTTTTTGTTTTTGTTTTTCGGTGTTATTAAAACAGATGGTGAAATTAGACTTTTAGAGAATAATGGAAAGGCTCTCTCTGGGCGCGGACGCCTGTGAAAACATGTTTTAATATTCAACTCACTCTCAATAATTCAAGTTAATTTTTTTTATTACTACCACACTGATTATTATATGTTAAGGTTCATAAGTAAAATAGAAAAATGTTAAGATTATTTATATTATTTTCTAATTAGTCTATGATCTCTCAAAATCACTATTTTTTGTTTTTGTTTATCGGTGTTAACAGATGGTGACATTTTAGAATTATAGTATAGAGCAGGGGTTCCCAACCCCGTGCCCGCGGGCGCCATGGCTCCCGCCGAACGATTTGTATGTGCCCGCCTCTCACTATTCGACAGAGACAGAATTTTTTTCATACACATTATTGAAAGGTTGAAGGGGATGGAGATCGAAAGTTAAAGGGGGGAGGAGGTGCAAATCAAATATATGAGAGGGGGGGGTTGCAAATCGAAAGTTTCGTCCCCGGGTGACGGGAAGAGTCGCTACGCCTCTGGAAGGAGTTTGTCTATTTAAAATAGGTGGTGCCCGCCACCCTACCGATATTTTAGAATGTGCTCTAGAGTAAAAAAAGGTTGGGAACCCCTGGTATAGAGAATGCTGGAAAGGCTCTCTCTGGGCATGGACACATGGAAAAGCGTGTTTTTGGTGGTGATTCTAATTACATTGCCAATATGTTTTCTTAAAACCATAAAAGTAAACACCACTTGCCATACATTTATTTGCATCGCATTGTTTTATTGTAAGTAAAGGAGTAGAATCTATTTATGTGACTAAAATTTTTTATGCTGGAAAGACTCTCTTTGGGCGTGGACGCCTAGAAAAGCGGGTTGTTCTGTGGTGATTCTAATGTTGTGGTTGTGTTGTGGTTGTTTTGTTCTGTTCCCAAGTTGTTACATTTAAAAAAGATTTACTGTGGCGGAGCACGGGTATACAGCTAGTTATATTTAGCCATGTAAATGCTGCAACTAAAAAAATTGGTTTACAGACATATTTTACTAACGATGTTCTATATATATTTAGATGGTTCTATTTTTGGGGCAGTATTTCTAAAAGCCTAAACCTAAACATTTTGGATCTGATTCCTGCCTTATTGATGCAAACAGATTGACCTAAAAGCTAATTCTATACATGAACATTCAAGAAGAATTACCATATCTTTAGCATCAATGTCTGCATTACTCCCAATCAACAACTGGACAATGGCAACATGACCTTCCTGTGATGCCACGTGCAATGGCGTTCTGTCAACCTTTGTCCGTGCATCACGACTGATACCTGCCCGCAATAAAACCTCTGCAGTCTCCTGGTGACCATACTGTGCAGCAAAGTGCAGGGGGGAAGTGCCCAACTGTCAGATGAAAACAAACAGTCAACTTAGCTGCCCATCAGACTCCAACCTGTCAAACAAACTTTGGTCAGTGATTGTGTTTTTACTGAAGAAATACCCAGCAACTCTATCCCTACACCTATGAGAATTAAGGCAATGAGGATCCAACTTAAGATGAAATCCTAACAACATCCAGCTCAAGATGAAATCCTACCAACATCCAACTTAAGATGAAATCCTACCAACATCCAACTCAAGATGAAATCCTACCAACATCCAACTCAAGATGAAATCCTACAAACATCCAACTCAAGATGAAATCCTACCAACATCCAGCCAACTTAAGATGAAATTCTACCAACATCTAACTCAAGATGAAATCCCACCAACATTCATCCTACTCAAGATGAAATCCTACCAACATCCAACTCAAGATGAAATCCTACCAACATCCAACTCAAGATGAAATCCTACCAACATCCAGCCAACTTAAGATGAAATCCTACCAACATCCAGCCAACTCAAGATGAAATCCTACCAACATCCAACTCAAGATGAAATCCTACCAACATCCAACTCAAGATGAAATCCTACCAACATTCATCCTACTCAAGATGAAATTCTACCAACATCCAACTCAAGATGAAATCCCACCAACATTCATCCTACTCAAGATGAAATCCTACCAACATCCAACTCAAGATGAAATCCTACCAACATCCAACTCAAGATGAAATCCTACCAACATTCATCCTACTCAAGATGAAATCCCACCAACATTCATCCTACTAAAGATGAAATCCTACCAACATCCAACTCAAGATGAAATCCTACCAAGAATCTGGCCATGTAGTTAGCAGTCCTGGACAAGAAAACTTGGAGGATGCCTAAAGAGAGCTAAGTTGGATTAAGACTGGTAAACCCTTACAGATGGCATGTCCCAGTAGGCTGGGAGGCTAAGTTGGAATAAATTACTTCTATACAAAAGTCAGCACTAAATCTTAGAGAACCAACGCTTGTGTTGTATACGTTAGCTGTTTTGAGAATAGAATGTGAGTTTTTATTATGGTTTTGTTAATGTGTGCAATTGGTTTGTTAACCCACTAATCCCAAAATTGTTTGCTCAACCCACTCATCCCAAAATGGTTTGCTCAACCCACTAATCCCAAAATTGTTTGCTCAACCCACTCATCCCAAAATGTTTGCTCAACCCACTCATCCCAAAATGGTTTGCTCAACCCACTCATCCCAAAATGGTTTGCTCAACCCACTCATCCCAAAATGGTTTGCTCAACCCACTCATCCCAAAATGGTTTGCTCAACCCACTCATCCCAAAATGGTTTGCTCAACCCACTCATCCCAAAATGGTTTGCTCAACCCACTCATCCCAAAATGTTTGCTCAACCCACTCATCCCAAAATGGTTTGCTCAACCCACTCATCCCAAAATGGTTTGCTCAACCCACTCATCCCAAAATGTTTGCTCAACCCACTCATCCCAAAATGGTTTGCTCAACCCACTCATCCCAAAATGGTTTGCTCAACCCACTCATCCCAAAATGTTTGCTCAACCCACTCATCCCAAAATGGTTTGCTCAACCCACTCATCCCAAAATGTTTGCTCAACCCACTCATCCCAAAAAGAATGCACAGGTGGGTGGGGAAAAAAATCCTCATCTTTTATCTCCAACTTACCCAGTCTGTAGTGAATGGAGCTCCATTGGACATGAGAGCTCTGACAGTATCAGTTTCACCTCTTTTGGCAGCTTCAAGCAAACGTTTGCCTAAATCCACTAAGGACATTCTCCTAGAGCCTTCTAATGGCCGGGTATTTGATAGCTCAACACTGTGTAGACTAGCCACAATCATTGGCTCTGCATTCAAATATAATAAATACTATTAGTTATATTACTGACTAGTGATAAAACTTTAATTAGAACACAAAATTTAACCGGAACAACAACCGCAACATTAACTAGAACATGAATATACATGAACTCTGAACAGGACAGGTAGGAAAACAGTAACCCAGACTAACACTGAACCTAAACTTCAAAGTTAGTCCAACACCTTGCCACTTAACCCAGTCAGGTAGGAAAACAGTAACCCAGACTAACACTGAACCTAAACTTCAAAGTTAGTCCAACACCTTGCCACTTAACCCAGTCAGGTAGGAAAACAGTAACCCAGACTAACACTGAACCTAAACTTCAAAGTTAGTCCAACACCTTGCCACTTAACCCAGTCAGGTAGGAAAACAGTAACCCAGACTAACACTGAACCTAAACTTCAAAGTTAGTCCAACACCTTGCCACTTAACCCAGTCAGGTAGGAAAACAGTAACCCAGACTAACACTGAACCTAAAATTCAAAGTTAGTCCAACACCTTGCCACTTAACCCAGTCAGGTAGGAAAACAGTAACCCAGACTAACACTGAACCTAAACTTCAAAGTTAGTCCAACACCTTGCCACTTAACCCAGTCAGGTAGGAAAACAGTAACCCAGACTAACACTGAACCTAAACTTCAAAGTTAGTCCAACACCTTGCCACTTAACCCAGTCAGGTAGGAAAACAGTAACCCAGACTAACACTGAACCTAAACTTCAAAGTTAGTCCAACACCTTGCAACTAAACCCAGTCAGGTAGGAAAACAGTAACCCAGACTAACACTGAACCTAAACTTCAAAGTTAGTCCAACACCTTGCCACTTAACCCAGTCACAGCCCTAATACTTGTAACAGGTCTACACATGGCTACTGCACATTGACAATAAATCTAGACTTATACTTTACTCCTAGACCCCATACCTATGCTCATGCTAGATAAAGGCTTCACACATAGATCACAGTCTAAAGCAAGACCCTCTATATATAACCTATACCTGTGTTTCTACATTAGGACATGAACCCTAAATCATATCATACAGACCGGAATCAACTTTCTAAACCTTCAGCTAATGTGCTTCTGAAACTGGCAGCTTTTAATTACAGCTCAGGCTACATCATTCAAATTTGACACTTATTTGCTTGACATAGACTAAATAAGCAGAGCATCTACATCTAGCTACATTATGTACAGCCTTAGATTTGATTTTAACCACATTATGTACAACCTTAGATTTGATTTTAACCACATTATGTACAACCTTAGATTTTTATTTTAACCACATTATGTACAACCTTAGATTTGATTTTAACCACATTATGTACAACCTTAGATTTTTATTTTAACCACATTATGTACAACCTTAGATTTTTATTTTAACCACATTATGTACAAACTTAGATTTGATTTTAACCACATTATGTACAACCTTAGATTTTTATTTTAACCACATTATGTACAAACTTAGATTTGATTTTAACCACATTATGTACAACCTTAGATTTTTATTTTAACCACATTATGTACAACCTTAGATTTGATTTTAACCACATTATGTACAACCTTAGATTTTTATTTTAACCACATTATGTACAAACTTAGATTTTTATTTTAACCACATTATGTACAACCTTAGATTTGATTTTAACCACATTATGAAAAACCTTAGATTTGATTTTAACCACATTATGTAAAACCTTAGATTTGATTTTAACCACATTATGTAAAACCTTAGATTTGATTTTAACCACATTATGTAAAACCTTAGATTTGATTTTAACCACATTATGTAAAACCTTAGATTTGATTTTAACCACATTATGTACAACCTTAGATTTGATTTTAACCACATTATGTACAAACTTATATTTGATTAAAACATCACTGAATTAAATAATTATTTTTTAAATCATTTTAATTACATTTGCCTTGACAATACACCTACACACTTTTCATAATTCTCACTGTTATATTACAACAATTGTATTATTAGTCTCCATCTTCTATGTCATATTGTCCTTTAATGTTCTGCAAATAAATTAGGCAGTAATTTTTTGTCACTATGATCAACAACATCTTTAATTTTGTTAAAATTTTCCTTCTTTGAACTAATTATGTTATTTTAAGTAAGGCTGATTTGAAAGCAGTTGATTTTGTGCCTCTAAATGACATTATTAACATTGTGTACTTTTTGGGCATCCCACTTTTTACTTTCTCATATATACGAAGTATAGAGAAAGTCTTGTAATCATGCACACACAAAAAATCAAGATTTTTTTTAGGGCTCACTGAGTCGGAAAATCATAGTTTTTCAATCTTGTCTGTGTGTATGTGTGTCTGTGTGTAAACACGGTTACTTGAGTAGTTACAGCTAGGTTGATGAAATTTCATATATAAGTATTATATCAAAATCGTAGATCTGGAACTTTTTCTACTTTGAATTTTTTCAAAAGCCTATAACTTGAGTACTATTTCAGATAGATAAATGAAATTTCACATGTAAGTTAAAGTTCTAATTCTCTGCCTTCTACCAAATTTTGAGTAATTTCCGTCAACCGGAAGTAGTAATTTACGCTATTTCTAAAAAAAACCTATGTGAATTTATAAAGTACTAATAATATCCCGCACTATTATATTTGGCGTTCACTTGGTGTGCAATTCTTTTTTTTACAAGATTCTATTCTATTATAAAAAGTTTAAGTAATTAAAAATGGATTTTAAATATTGTCTATGTCCAGAGTTGCCATCCCCCGTAGTGTTATATTAGAATATTCAAGAAGCTTTAAGGGAGATCACTCCCGGTTTATTTCCTCTAGTTTTCATGGACGTCACAAACTATTACATAAACTTGATACATATTTTACAATGACAATTTTACAAGTGATTAATTAATTATAAAAAATATATAGCTCGTCTCCATTCAGTCAGCTGGGATGAGGCATAGGCCCATGTATGGATAAGTAGATTCACTGATTGTTAATAGGAATCAAACCAGCTGTCTATCAAATAGCCAGTTATATAGCGGTCACGTGGTTTTTAAAAAAAAATTGGTTGTGATATGAAAGCCAGTCTTATTAAAAAACAGCTTATAATATTTGATTTCTTTTTTTCATAGACTGATGAAACTAATAATGCTTTACATTCTCGATCAATTTTGTACCTACACCTTTGATATTTTAAAAGTTTTTATTAATTTTAATGAAACCAACTTTTGAATTTAGCCTCCCTTCTCCAAACCAAATTTTAAAATGCTTTTCTGGCATACATAGCCCTGCCATCTATCATCTATGGTTTGTTTTTATAACACGAAAATCCCGCCATTTCGCTCTAAGAAGGTCACTGGAACTAAGACAAAAAATTGTTGGAAGGCATGCATCCAGTCTGTACGCCATATTGTTGTTAACAACCGGCCACGCCTCCAGGGTAAGCGAGTAATACTATTGTCATGGATAGGTGTGTTTGTGCCATCGTTGTAATGGAAAGTTGTATCGTTCCATGGCTGTGAGTGACAATACAATTTTAAATAAAGTAGGTCTAATTATTAGTATTGCTCGCTACCCCGGAGGCGTGGCTGGTTGCTAACAACAATATGGCGTACGGACCGGATCCTGACTTCCGACGATTTTTCGTCTTAGTTCTAGAGACCTTCTTGGAATTACTTTTTAAAATGTTTACCACGAGCAAAATGGCGTGTTTTCACGTTATAAAAACATGCTATAGATAGCAGGTCTAAATATGCCAGAAAAGCATTTTAAAAGTAGGCCTAAATCTAGATTTACTAGATTCTAGATCTAGTACTTAGATCTAGTACTAGAATCTCTAGCTTTTAAATTTAGGACTATTATCACTATATTTAAATAATTTAGTATAGGCCGCATTGGGGCCCATCTACTATATTTATAATAGATTTAGATCTACTCGATACGTGTGAATATAGACTAGAGGGTAAAACTCCATTTTAGCGTATTTTTAAGCTATGACGTATGCTGATTATTAAAGTCAATGTGAACTCACGGTGAACCCTTGACCATGTACAGCATGTAGGAATGATGGAATGTAGGGATTTTTCTCCCGCTGACGATCACACACTATTTACTATTTATTTTTAGGCCTACTGTAGGCCTAGGCCTAATGGTTATTTCTAACATTTTTTACCTTATCTAATTAGTAATTAAAACACATTCATAAAAAAATAAGCAGATCTAGATTTAATGACGATCATTCTTAGATTCTAATCCTAGTGTTTTCCTAATGACCTGACCTAATGTTTTTGTGTGTTTTGGTTTATAAAAATAAAATTCGCTCAATACCAGAGGTGAACGTGAAGCGGCGAATAAAATACGCTAAAAATGGAGTTTTACCCTAGAGTCTAAATGATTGCTAACTAATAAGAGACTGTGGAGCTACTTAATTACTACTTAGATCTAGACTCTAGAATCTAATACTTCATTGTAACTTTCATTTTCAAACTAAAAAGAGAAACAACGATACACTACAGGAAGCAGGAAGTCTATTCGATTGTTTACAATTTAAGCTTCCGCTACCGGTAAACCACATAGGCCTAAAGGAAAACAATAAATGAACCCTTTAGACTTTAGATATTATTACAATATAGATCTAGATCTACAATACAACTCTGTAATGACGATTAAACATAATCACCCATAAATCGACGCTTGAAAACAAACGTGTGCAGACTTTGCTTAACAATATCATCAATAAAAATGATGACGTCATCCACACGCGGTTAAATTAGTTCAAATCGAGGCTCTTGTAGCAAGAAAAAATATGGATTTTATCTTTAACAAATTAAATTATGAATTCGGAAATCTAGATTTCAAACAAGCCACAATTTATTGAATATTTTTAATAACTGCCACTTTGTAGACTACTGTCTTCGCATACGCGTCAAGTGTGAAGTAAATCTATTCCTTGATCAAATGTCGTTCCGCCAATAACAGAGTATTAAGTGCGAGAGATCAAGTTAACCCTTAAATGCATGACTTTTTAATAATGATTGAAAAAAATATTTTTATATTGTTTTGGTGGGTATAGTCAAGTAAAAAAAATATTTTTAGTTTAAACATGTTCTTTAATTAAAATCCGAAATGTTGCATGTCTGCAACATTCTGTAGTAAGGTGATACTTTTTAAGACAGTTGTTGATCTTGTTACAACAAAGATATATGTTGCACTTGTGGCAAACTGTTTGAGCTTGATGTGAATTTGCACCTGTCATTGCACTATTCCACGAGACTTAGTGTCCACACAGGTCCAGGAGATCCAGGGTCCATTCTGGTCCTAGAGATCCAGGGTCCACACTGGTCCAGGATATCCAGGGCCCACACTGGTCCAGGATATCTAGGGTCCACACTGGTTCAGGATATCTAGGGTTTACACTCGTCCAGGATATCTAGGGTCCACACTGGTCCAGGAGATCTAGGGTCCACACTGGTCCAGAATATCTAGGGTCCACACTGGTCCAGGATATCTAGGGTCCACACTGGTCCAGGATATCAAGGGTTTACACTGGTCCAGGATATCTAGGGTCCACACTGGTCCAGGATATCTAGGGTCCACACTGGTCCAGGATATCTAGGGTCCACACTGGTCAAGGATATCTAGGGTCCACACTGGTCCAGGAGATCCAGGGTCCACACTGGTCCAGGATATCTAGGGTCCACACTGGTCCAGGATATCTAGAGTCCACACTGGTCCAGGATATCTAGGGTCCACACTGGTCCAGGAGATCCAGGGTCCACACTGGTCCAGAATATCTAGGGTCCACACTGGTCCAGGATATCTAGGGTCCACACTGGTCCAGGATATCTACGGTCCACACTGGTCCAGGATATCTACGGTCCACACTGGTCCAGGATATCTAGGGTCCACAGTGGTCCTGGAGATTCAGGGTCCACACTGGTCCAGAATATCTAGGGTCCACACTGGTCCAGGATATCTAGGGTCCACAGTGGTCCTGGAGATTCAGGGTCCACACTGGTCCAGGAGATCCAGGAAGATACTCTTGATCGCCAAGAGCATCTACTTCATATTATTCTTCACCTTGATTCACGTTGATTTCTTAATGATTATGCTGAAACTAGAAGAAAAACAAGGTATTATATAATCACCAATGCTGATGTATAAAGTAAAAAAAATAGTGCAAAAGTAGGTCAATTTGCATAACGTTGCAGCACTGCAACCAAAGTTTTGTGAAGATTTTAAAATAAATTATGAATTGATTTTCAAAACAACACATACAATATGTAATACATACCTTAGGTTGTCAGAAACATATTTTTTGAAATTCCAAAACCAGTTTATTTGACTTTGATGAACTTTGAAACGCCAACCAAAAATGCTGATATAAAAAACCTTGTGATCATGCACAAATTTGAGATCGGCTCGGCGGTAAAACAAATCTAGGTCACTTAGACATGCGCAAGCTGTAGGTTAACATTGTAGCAGTCAAACAACGTGATGCACAGAATCTATAATAATAGTTTCGCTGTCTGTCTATCTATCTATCTATCTATCTATCTATCTATCTATCTATCTGTCTGACAAGAACGCTCTAGAGAAAACACAAGCAAAATAAAAACATGCACAGTAATTCGAAAAACGAACTATGACGTCGACACATTTAGCGCACAGAGTAGAAAATAATCTCAAGCCGGATAGTGCACACACTGATATGACGTCATTGATTATCGAGTAAAGGCAATTTGGTCTAATCTAAGTGGTTTGCGTGAAGAGTTTCTTTCATACAATTCTTCGGGTAGGGGCGAAGCCCCACCCCCGCGTAAGAACGTCTGAGCCCCCCCCCCTCTCCCCAACTCAAAAGAAATTTCCTCATCGATACTCTATAATAAAATTACCGCCTAATTAATGTGTCTAATCTAAAAAGTGGTTTTCTTGCAATTTCTTTAATGCAATTCTTCGCGTAGTGGCTATGCGCGACACCAGTGTTTCTTTCAGACTTTTTCCTCCACGGAGAGGGGTGAGGGTACTTGAAATTTTCGGGGGCGGGGGTAGAATTTTCGGGGAGGGGGCGGACACTGGAAAAAGTATATAATCATATTTCGTTGAATGGGACGGTAGACATGTTTTTTAGGGGGGGGGGGGGGGGGTGGGGGGGGAGGGGGGAGGGGGGGTGGTGTGTGTGTGGGGGGGGGTGGGGTGGTTTTAATTTAGACTTTTTCCTCCCCGGAGAGGGGTGGGGGTACTTGAAATTTTCGGTGGCGGGCGTAGAATTTTCGGGGAGGGGGCGGACACTGGAAAAAGTATATAATTATATTTCGTTGAATGGGACGGTAGACATGTTTTTTAGGGGGGGGGGTGAGGGGGAATGTGGGGGGTGGGTGGGGGGTGGTGTGTGTGGGGGTGGGGGGGTGGGGGTGTGTGGGGGGGTGGTTTAAGTTTAGAGAAAAGAGACAGCACTATCAGCCTAGCGCCCGGTGTATCCTTCCTCAACGGGCCATTTTTCTCGTAAAACATGTTTAGGCTAATATTTTATGGGAAGGTAACTGGTATGTTGCAGATTGTACCGGTATGCATTTAAGGGTTAAGTAAAAGCTTGAAAAATAATTATAATCCCAATAGATCTGTATAAAAGCCCGTGTGTGCACTTCTCTCTCTCTGTCCGCAAAATATTTTCCGAGGCTATGAGATCAGAATCTTCAGCGATATATGTGGAACTTAATGATACGGACTTTTGTTGAAAATAATATGTTAGATGTATTAAATTATAAACTAAATGTTATTTAAAGAAAGAAAATAATAATAAAGGCATACTCGAATGTAAAAACACATTTTAATTATGCAACCTAAAAAGTGTTTATAATTGTGACAAGAGCGCTCTAGAGAAGATATAAGTAACACTAAACAATGACGTCACATGTCAAATGAAATTACTCCGACTGATTAAACTTAACCACTCTACTTAATTATGGAAGGTACACAAATCTATTGACGCCCTTAATTGTAGGACAGAAATATAGTTATTATACATCGAATTTCGAAAATTATACACAAAACTAATGACGACATCTTCAATAAGATTCGCTTCTCACATGTTCCAAATTTAAAATATGAAGAAATAAATTATATTTCCTCACGGAGGCTGTGACTTCACACTGTTTTGATAAATTGTAGTAGATATTGATTAAAAAACTCTATGTTGAAAGATTTTTTTCGAAAAATTCAACAGCTATTATGAGGGGGGTTGAGGGAGGGAGGTAGGTAGGCTGAGCTGTGACGTAATTTTAGGGGGGGGGGCGGTCTGGCTTTTTGTTATTATGCACATTTTATTAGGCTTTCACTTGGTGTGCAATTCTTTTTTTTTTTTTTGTTTACGAGATTCTATTCTATTATAAAAAGCTTAAGTAATTAAAAATGGATTACAAATATTGTATATGTCCTGAGTTGCCATCCCTCGTAGTTTTATATTAGAATATTCGAGAAAGTTTAGGAGAGATCACTCCCAGTTTATTTATGAAATCCTTTTAAGTACTTATTTAGAACATGTTTTTATTTTCAATAGAGTTTCATGACTAAAAACCATTGCGCGCCCATCAGTGGCGGAACTAGAAAAAATGGGCCACCCCGCAAAAAAAATTCTTGGGCCCCATATATATATATATATATATATATATATATATATATATATATATATATATATATATATATATATATATATATATATATATATATATATATAGAAAATACGTAAATACGAATAAAGAACACTCATTTCGGGCTTTTCGAGTTTTGAAAAAAAAATTAACCTAATTTTTTATTTTATATTAAAACAAGTTCACCACCCCAAACCCCACACACTCAAATGACACTTTTTATGACATCATCAACATGCCGTCCTTTTTGTCCTCGAGCACGTCACTTGTGTGTGCTATTGGTCTGTTTTGTAAATCTTTGTTTAAATATATGTTTGCTATATCCAATCCAACTGGCAAATCCGTCAAAAGTATATGAAGCATACAAACTTTTGTATGTGTAATGGTTTTTCGCGTTATGTTTATTTTTATGTTTTTTGGTATTTATATTATTAGTTTTAAATATATTTCCTTCTTATAATATGTCATTCTATAGTATGTATTTTTTTTAAATAATTAAGAGAAGTTATTGCTTTTTTATTGTTTAGTACAAATCTATTAAAAGGAGCTTATGAGCACTCCTATTTGACTTTTAAAAAACGGAAATAAGTCATGAAAGTGGTTTAAACGTTTGCCTATCTTTCACAATTTTTAAAAAAAAGGAAAAAGAATAATTATACAAGATCGTGGTATGGTGTCTATAGAATAAAGATAATCTAACCGCAGCTACAGTATTCTTTTAACAAAACAACCATCAAGTCAAAAATGAAAGATAATTAAATGTTTTAACTAAAAAAGAAATTGATTATGGTCGGCGGTGGGCCCCTAAACGGCGTGCCCCCCCCCCCCCGCATTGCGGGGTCTGGCGGCACTGTAGTTCCGCCCCTGGCGCCCATTCAACGTGATGACGCGCTATTGAACGTGATGACGCGTGTGGTGTGGTTGGATAGAAATGCCTACTAACTTGGTCAAAATTTTAATTAATTCATAAAAATTTCATTAGGCATCCAATTAAGTCAAATTTAATTTCAAATTGCATTGTCTTCATGTCTTGTCCCACGTGCCAACTGTGAACCGAATCTGTCAGTTAGAAGTGTCCGAATTTTCGCTCGAGCGTTTCGATCTAGACAGACTGACGACAGACAGAGGAAGTGCG